TTACGCCGTAAGGTAACCATCGACTTGGAGCTCCACCTCAGCAAGAAGAGTCTATTCAAATCCTCTAAAAGACCTTTGGCAAAATATGATGTCTACCTGTACAGGGTACCAAAAGCCAAACCTCGCGTTCTAAACGGGCCAAGCAAAAAGACTGCAAATGGACCCAGCAGAGCAAAGGGCAGAGTTATAAGATGGGAAGATGAATTTTACCCACCTTCTCCCTCTTGTTCTATGCGCAGCCCGGTAAGTACTCGGTCATTGCCAGCTTCTGCGTTACACGAACATCAACAGATCGAACCTTGGACAATATACCCCTACAACCTCTGACAAATGGACTCCTTCCACCTCCCTGAGCTGGCTGCTCAGTGAAAGTCATCTGGTTGTGTTTATTGTATTTAGATGGACTATATGGAAGAAAGCATACTGAAACTGAAAGGAACAACAACTGCTAAGCTTTGAAATTCTGTCCGTTTGGAGGTTTAAGATAAAGGATTAATCTGAGGGTCATAAAATCAGTGGATTCCTTTTAACAAGAAGGAAGTTCTTGTTACTGGTTCTAAAATACTCCACATTGCTAATAACCCAAAGGATCTGTCCTCAAAGACATTTTCTGACCATTTCGACATGGAAGCAATCTTAAATTTAAGTGTTTTTTGGGTTTTTTTTTAATAGCAAACTGTTCATAATCATGACAAATAAAGACTGGTCAGTGTTTATCGATGATTCCCTGCACGAAAAACAAAGCAAAGTAATAAACTGAATGTGTTTTCTACTTCTGCACTTTTGCCTGATTCTAATTTCATAGTCGTTAAACAACTCAAAGCCTTTGGTTGAAATCACAACAGAATTCAACATAACCGTTCTTCGAGTCGTGTTGTCAGGGAAACAAAGCATTTATTTACTTTTTTTATATAAATAAAGTACTTTAAAAAGTAAAGTATTTGTATTTGGTCTCATCAGTTTCTCATGATTTTTATGTGCATCTTTGTATGAACATTTTGGTTTTAAGCTCAAATTGGGCTGAATTTGAAATATAATCCACACGTCGCCACTTTTCATGGCTTTTTTGTGTAATTTAATAATCTTTCGTGTTTGGATTTATTCAGTATTGAGCTACAGTATAAACAGGCAGACATTTCAATCCGGTGGTAGTGGCTGGATATTTTTTGTGCTGCTGTAAAAATAAGGTTTAATGAGTTAATGTATGTCAGATCTGAAAGGTGGACCTTTTGTAGGTGATCTTTGTTTTTTTTCTTGGATATCAGACTGCTCTTACTGATGAAAACTAGTTAAATGCAGAACCACAGGTGAAACACAGGTTCTATTTGTTGGCAAAAAAATTAAGTGCAGCAGGATCTGAAAAAGAAGCAGAAGACATCTTTATAAGAAGCATTACATCTCTTTGTAGGAACATATTTTTTTAAATGGAAGGAAAGTATATTTATTAGTAAGTGGGTGGCTAAGTGGGACAGCAGCTTTGTGATGGTGTCGTCCAATGTATGTAAGTGACAAAAGTAATATAGCTGTTAGATTTAAAATATATTTTCCACATGTGAAAGAAATGCCCCCTTTCATATGTGAAGTTACATTGTGTCTATAAACATCGAAATAATATTAATAAACTAAAAATGTTATTAATAGATAATGGTCTGGCCTTATGGGAGAGCTATAGAATGCTTTTACATGTATGATTTTAATTAAAAATCACTATATTATTCTGAATTAGTGATCTTAAATCCCAGTGGTGATGGTATGAAACATTTTGATAAATATCTTCCGATGTTTACAGACGATTTTGGGTTGTTTTGTGTGTTTCAGATTGTTCTTGTTATACCAACAGGTTTTGTCTACAATCTTCATTTTATTATGGCTTTGACATTGGCCCTTATCAGTGTCTCACCCTCAGAGTATATTTCTTTCCAACCACAGTTTATTTATCATCAAAAAGGTGATTTAAATTGTGCATGTTTTTGTAAAACAATCTTTACAGCCATATATGTTCATAATGATCACGTTTTAGAAAATAATTAAAACAAAAACTGAAAAATTATAGACAAGTTCTTAACAATCATCATTAACATTACATATGTGATTTAACAGTGTTTTTTCTATTGTCCCTGTTAAACCTGCAGATTAATTGCATTCTACACTCACCGGCCACTTTATTAGGTACACCTGTCCAACTGCTCGTTAACACTTAATTTCTAAGCAGCCAATCACATGGTGGCAACTCAGTGCATTTAGGCATGTAGACATGGTCAAGACAATCTCCTGCAGTTCAAACCGAGCATCAGTATGGGGAAGAAAGGTGATTTGAGTGACTTTGAACGTGGAATGATTGTTGGTGCCAGAAGGACTGGTCTGAGTATTTCAGAAACTGCTGATCTACTGGGATTTTCACGCACAACCATCTCTAGGGTTTACAGAGAATGGTCCGAAAAAGAAAAAACATCCAGTGAGCGGCAGTTCTGTGGGCGGAAATGCCTTGTTGATAACAGAGGTCAGAGGAGAATGGCCAGACTGAAGGGCAACAGTGACTCAAATAACCACCCGTTACAACCAAGGTGGGCAGAAGAGCATCTCTGAACGCACAGTACGTCGAACTTTGAGGCAGATGGGCTACAGCAGCAGAAGACCACACCGGGTGCCACTCCTTTCAGCTAAGAACAGGAAACTGAGGCTACAATTTGCACAAGCTCATGGAAATTGGACAATAGAAGATTGGAAAAACGTTGCCTGGTCTGATGAGTCTCGATTTCTGCTGCGACATTCGGATGGTAGGGTCAGAATTTGGCGTCTATAACATGAAAGCACGGATCCATCCTGCCTTGTATCAACGGTTCAGGCTGGTGGTGGTGGTGTCATGGTGTGGGGAATATTTTCTTGGCAGTCTTTGGGCCCCTTGGTACCAATTAAGCATCGTTGCAACGCCACAGCCTACCTGAGTATTGTTGCTGACCATGTCCATCCCTTTATGACCACAATGTACCCAACTTCTGATGGCTACTTTCAGCAGGATAATGCGCCATGTCATAAAGCTGGAATCATCTCAGACTGGTTTCTTGAACATGACAATGAGTTCACTGTACTCAAATGGCCTCCACAGTCACCAGATCTCAATCCAATAGAGCATCTTTGGGATGTGGTGGAACGGGAGATTCGCATCATGGATGTGCAGCTGACAAATCTGCGGCAACTGTGTGATGCCATCATGTCAATATGGACCAAACTCCCTGAGGAATGCTTCCAGCACCTTGTTGAATCTATGCCATGAAGAATTGAGGCAGTTCTGAAGGCAACAGGGGGTCCAACCCGTTACTAGCATGGGGTATCTAATAAAGTGGCCGGTGAGTGTATTTAATTTTGACTTTTTCTATTTGAAAGCTACACAGCGCCATCTACTGAACGAAAACAATATTACCTCAACTGTTGTTTTGCATGCGGCAACTTCTTCTTACCACCGGTAGGTGGCACTGTGCACAATAACAACAGGTGCAAGTTTTTGTGTGTTGCAAAGAACATCATAGAACATTAATAATTACAAACAAATACAATATCAAAGGGCTTTACAGAACATAGAGCAATATTTTACAGTGTCAAAATCAAAACTTTGCTTCAGGGTTGCAATTCTTTAAGGCAGTTGTGATTTGAATGGTTTTAGCATTTGAGCTGAATTTTAAGGATTCTTTATATATGTTAATAGAAGATAATTGAATCTGGAAATTAGGTTTTTGTTGTAAATATTTGGAGGTGTGAATATATTTGCCATATATGAAAAAAAAAAAAAAAATAAAAATATATATATAACATATAAAAATTCTTTCTTGACAAGTTCACATTTCTCCATCCTATTGAGATTTCTTTGATGACAAAAAAAATGAGATATCTTTTTTGGTATAATTACAATCCCCAAAAAGATGAATAAGCTTTCCTTCATTATTTTCTAACAAAAAGTACACATCAGGTTATATCTTCTTATCAAAAATGCTTTAACTGGATTATGAATAACTTTAAAAGAAATTTATCTTACTTTATTGTTTATTAAGTATTTTTAGGAGCAAGAAGATTCAATGTGCCAATGAAGATCGTCAATAAAATGAATCAACTTTCTTACAGCCATTCTGTCACTTGTCATGGGAAGTGATTTATTTGAAAAATAAAAAAATTAAAGCTATTTTTACACTCAAATGTAAATAGTTAGTGCATATTACAGAAGTGTATAATTGCATAGCTAAGAATAATGTTTTAGGACGGTTAATGGATGTTCTGATAAAGGTTCGTTGGTTGTGTATGTGTTTATCTTTTATTTATAGCTATCACCAAGGTATTAAAAAATACTTTCTGAAAAAAAATCTTTTTGAAGGTTATTTTTATGTTTTTGCAATTATGCATCTTCCATTAATGAAAGACAGAAATGACATGCACACAATAGAAACTTGGTTTTGTTACTTGTTGTACCTATATATATATATATATATATATATATATATATATATATATATATATATATATATATATATATATATATATATATATATATATATATATATATATATATATATATATATATATATATATATATATACCATTTATTTATTTATATATAACCAAGTTTCTATTGTGTGCATGTCATTTCTGTCTTTCATTAAAGGAAGATGCATAATTGCAAAAACATAAAAATAACCTTCAAAAAGATTTTTTGATATATATATATATATATATATATATATATATATATATATATATATATATATATACATATACATATATATATATACATATATACGTATATGTATGTATGTATACATACGTACATTGATATGGCTCATGCTACGTACTCCGGTATAGTAGGTGGCGGTATGCGCCTAAAGGACAGGGTTGCAATCTGCCATTAAACCAATAGAAAAAGGAGAAGAAGAAAAAATACTCCGTCCAGTTGGGGGCGGTAATGCTCATCTTTAAATTTCCTTTGCCAACCGTCAGTAAACAGAAGAAGAAGAAGAGCGCTCTGCCAATAATTCCACGTTTTGAGATGTTTTTCTCAAAGCAGCAAGTAAAGCTTCCAAATACTTAACAAAACCATGTTAATTTAACAGATATTTAAAAGAGGATGCATTTATAATAATCTCTAAACTATACCTTTATTATGTAACAGTTTCTTTTCGTTTTTCAAACAGCTGAGTCTATGTTGTGTTAGCCGATAAAGCTAGCAATGTTTACAGAACTCAACAGCATCCTCAACACCTCTCCTGACTCCTTCAGCAGGGTAAGAATTTAATCCTAGCGCTAAAGCATTAGTGTTTTTGTCATATCACTAATGATGAATACGTTCGGTAACCAGAAAAAACGCAGCTGTTGTTTTTACAGAAGCCGCAGTTTTGTTGCATCTTCTCCCATTGTATTAATTTTCTGCTGCTTGACAGGGGGAATATATCCTGGTTTCAGAAACACACACTGACGCATCTTTCCTTATTCACCACTTCCTTTCGTTCTACCTGCGATGTGAGTAAATAGTTTAGTTTCCAATGGAGTATTTTAAATTTAATTATCATTATTAATTTGTCTTTTTTCTTCGATAAAGCGCGATGCAGAGTGTGTTTTTTGGGCCTGGCGCAGTCATTTTGCCACTACAGTGTAGTGGGTCAAAGACTAGTGAGTACCTGCTCTGTAACTAGTGTTTTATAGTGGATGGGTGCAAATGGAAACATGTTTGGAATAGCTGTTGATTTGTTTTAATATCTGAATGAATTTCTGCTCTCAGGGTGTCAGTTTAACACAAGCAAAAGAAAAAGGTCAGCTGGTTTTCTTGGAGGGATTGAAAGAGTCGCTGTCTGTTCTAATTCCACAAGAAAACATCCCAGAAAGCGAAGCTATGAACTTTCTCAGGTATAGTCAAAATCCTCCTCGGCATCATTTTGCTGTAACTTCCAGGACCATATGGAGGACATACAGTAGTATCCATTCAAATGTTCCCCACTTTCCTTGATGAGCCCTTAGCTGGTCCCCTACAATTCATTTTTAAACATCAATCTTTGTACTAAAACATTCTTTCTGTCATCATTTGTGGACATTTAGATCTGAAGAGAAGCACCTTCTCTTGGTCACACCCTGTTATTCAGTTAAAGAGTGGAGTCAGAGTAAAAAAAAAATATGCAAGAGGGGCTCATTCCAGTGGCTGGAAGTTGAAGGGGATTCTGCTGGGAGTTGCAGGGAAGTGGGCTGCCATTCGGCTGGTGTTTGACTGGAAAGGACCATTTTAAATGGCTGCTACTGTATATATTTCTGTAAAAATAACAGGAACGTTTCTTGTTTACAATCACCTTTATTTCTTTCTCTCATTATTCAATCACCTTCTCGCTCCAGGAACCCTTCAGTCGGCCTGAAGAGTCTGTATGAGTTTGTTTACTCCAGCGTGATGGACTCAGGCTGCATGGAGGAAGGGGGAGAGGAGTGGGGACCTCCTGTGTTGCTGGTGGACGACCTTAGCGTGCTGCTGAGTCTGGGCGTCCACGTTGGAGCCGTTTTGGACTTCAGCCATTACTGCAGAGCCGCAGTCTGCTCCAAATTACAGGTTTGCCCTTTTTTGTTTATCTTGGATTATTTCTGCAAACAATTATTTAAAATGAGCTCATGATAAAGGCAGCTGCAGATGAATGAATCATCATGGCTCTTTAACAACAGGGCAACATGGTGATGCTGGTGCGCTGTAATGCAGAAGAAGAGGAGGATGAAGCAGATGAAGGATCCAAGGCTCTCCTGAGGGGCCTGACCCACCAGTGTAGTCTTAATCTTCATGTTCAGGGTCTTCCCACTGGCTACTGCAAGGACATACATGGCCAGGTGTGTTTTCATTCTTTGATTAACCTAATCCTTCACAGTGCACTTTTAAGGTCTGGCTTTTAAGTTCAAATTTGTCAACTATTAGCAATTATTGCTCAATTTCCTATGTTTTTACCACAAATGATCATTTCAGAACTTTATTGATGGGACTATATATTACAGTTTTAAACATCCAGCTACAATATTTTACATTAAAGCTGCATTAGCTCCTGAGACAGACGACACACAGCCTGTTAATGTATTTATATTGTCATTGTTGGAGTTCCATAAAAAAAATAATTCCCTAAACGAAGATTAGCCGTGGTTCTGTTGATGGTGACTGTTCCTTTGTTTTGTTGTTGTCCTCCGAGGTCTGACCAGTGAGAACTGAAATAGAGATGAAATATCTTTATAACCTAATAAGATAAAGTTTGAAGTCTTAAGTTTTAGCATTTACAAACTAGGGATGGAACGGTATATGAAAACCGTCCGAACCGTTCGGTTCGATTTGCGTGTGTTGCGTTCGGTTCATGCGCTGCTCCTTTTTCTCATAGGCGAAGCGTGTACACTCCAGAGCAGAAGGTGGCGGTACTGCGACCAAAGCCAACCACCAGTAGTAAACAAGAAGAAGCAGCAAAGCAGCGTAGCCAGGTGTAGCAGAAAAAAATCTGTTGTTGTGGAGAATTGTGTGGGTATGGCGAGTGGGAAAGAACATGAGTTGGAAGCAGCACTTTATAGGTCTGCTGTATGGGACCACTTTGCATTTAGAGTGACCTACGATGACGGCGGAAAGAAAGTTGTGGATAAAAATGCAACAGCGTGCAAGCATTGTTCAACACTTTTTGTACTGTACAAGACATAATAGATTTTCCTAACAATCAACATATACCGAACCGAAAGCTGTGAACCGAACCGAACCATGGATTTTGTGAACCGTTCCACCCCTATTACAAACGTATAGTATTGATTTTATAGGAGACTCAGATGTTTTACAAACTGAGTAAATGCAATCAGATGGGATTCCTTTGATAACTGTGAACCATTTAACTGTACAACTCAATTGAAATATCTCTGTAAAGTCCCTTGAGATGACTACTTGTGAATTGGGGCTATATAATTGAACTGAATTGAAAAAGAATAACTTGTTTTCCAGATGGAAGTTTGTTGGAAGAGGAGACAAGGCGATGTACCCCACTTGCAGACAAACCTATTCCAGTACAAAGTTCATGATAAAGGAGCATCCTTTTTTGCCCGTGGGATGTCCAGCGCTGTTCTTTAACTCCACCTTTTTATTCTCCATGTACAAATTTTTCAAGATCACCATACGTTATAGATTTGACTTTAGCATTTGCTGGTTTGTATTCTTTGCCTGGAGGATGGTATCATCAATCAACAAATACTATTGATCCTGGTATGTATGTTTCTGGAGGAATAATTTATTTATTTTTTCTTAACAGCCTCACTAGTACTACAGGTTTGCTTTGGAATAGTTATTCACAATGTTTTTTGATTTGACTGTAAGGTGCTTTGCACTGCTGTCAAAACAAGATGATCCTGTTTATCCTCTGCTAGTTTTTTTTTTTTTTTTTTTGCTGCAGCTTTGCTGATTATTTGGCATTCTGGAACATTTTAGATTTCAACAAATAAATAAATACTATCCTTAACATTATGGAAAAGGAAAAAGCAAACAGCAAAAGTCTGAATGAGAGAAATGTTTGATGTTGTATGTGAACTGTGTAGTTCACAAGAATATAAATGAAATAAAAAGAAACAAACAGGAAAAAGTGTTTCTGTGATAATTGTGAAATAAAGACCATGATGACTTTCCAGCATCGGCTTTGTTAGGTTATTGTACAAATCATTACCTGGAATTCATCAGTGCTCTTCCAGCTGTTGGTATAATGGTAGATCATCACATGGGAAAGATATTGTAAAAATGATCAGTTACAACAATAAACTTTGATCACTGAAACAGAAATATATTTTATGACGCTCTAAATATTTTGTTAGTATGATTATTATACAGTATGAGAATAAAGACATCCAAGTGAGTCTTGTAATTGAGCTCCAAACAAAATAGTGGAAAAATTTAGTATTGATCTTTGTCCACACGGGGTCGCTGTGGTATTGCCTTTTACACTGATGAGTGAAAGGTCAAAGTGGAGAGGTCTTGCCGGATTTGACAACCAACAATCAGTTATGATGCCTTTATGCTGTGCGTCGCCATCACATCGGAGCAACCTATGAGCAACTGTTAAAGCCGAGGATTAAAACTGAACCTGATCATCATTTTATCCCGAAGAGCCAAACCGACTGAATCCGTCGGAGCGAATCCTAAAGTTAGATCAGGTGAGTGTGCTAACAGCGCAGCTAAAGTAGCAGCATTAGCCGCGCTAACTTAAAGGGAAGCATGGAAACTGCTGCTGTTTATTCTTAATATAGGGAAGAAAAAAAAAACGTTGTCGATAAACCTGGTTCTGTTTTTTTCTGCCCTACAATTATTTCTTGATTTGTACAGTTTATATAACAGGTTTTACTTAACCTTACAGTTTAGTAAAGCTTCTGTTGCTTTATTTCCAAACCAAAAAAACAAATGTTAATGGAGAACTTTCTCCAAGAGGATTCCCAAATAAAACCTTCCCCGTTTGACCATATACTATCCCCAAAGAGGTTTTTAACGTTACCATTTAAACTAACTTTTACCTTAGTGGCAAATAGAGAGGGAAGCTAACATTGCTAGATGTCAATGAGCTAGCTATGCTAGCCTTTAGCATAGTGCCAAAACAAACTGAGGACAGGTGCTAAGAATCTAAAAGACATCTTTAAGGTCGCTGTTAGCCGTGATAAAAGACACTTTTTGGGTTGTTTGCATGTGGTTTAAGTTTTATATTATTACTACGTATTATTACAAAGTTTATGAGAAGTGAATTTCTTTAAAGAAAACACAGATTAAGTAAATATTTATGGTTCAAGTCCAAGAATGTGTCTATTCTGTTTTTTTTTTTTTAGTACCATTTACATAGTTATTGTTTTCTAATTCAAGACCTAATATAGCTGTTTTTTTGTTAATGCTGGTGTTTTTCCCAGGGCAAGTGTCAACTGTTAAGTGCCTTAGCTGGTTTTGGGTATAAACTTATAGTGAACTGTTGATTTGATCAATGTTTTATTGATTGATTGACTTTATTGATCTCACAGTGGAGAAATTAGCTTGTTAATGTTTTATGGCCTACAATAAATATGAGACAAGAGTAAGACACAACTAAACCTGTTCTAAGTTCTTCTTTGCTGTGGACAAAGTCTAGATTTTTAAAATGTCTCTTTTTTAATGTTGCATAGATTTGTTTTCATCAAACAGTAGAACCTCTCTGGGCCTGTCAGTGATGTCCGTGTTATAACTCGCTCCTCCAGGTGATGTTGCAACATGGTTGCATCAGCCCTTCCATCTATTCATGTGCTCTCTGTCTTGGGAGCCCAGTTCTTCACAATTATTTAACTTCATTAAAATATGTCAGTAAAAAGTTGCAGTTTAGGGAATATTGATTTTAATCATAATTTTTTTTTTTTTTTTTCAGAATTGGTGACTGTTGCTCTTAAGGAGCGATTACTGAGACATAATTGATGTGGCCTTTTGTTTCTGCTTCTTTTAAATATTTAGTATCCATGAATAGAAATGGTCCGCCTGTTTAACATCATTAGTCGTCACGACATGGTTACTGATCGACAGAAACTTTCTCTCTCCTGTCATCGTCCCTGCTTGTATACTGCTCATTCACAGGGAGCCTCTGTGTTCAGTTTACAACAGAACTAAAAGTCTACGCTTATCAGCGGCGCATGCTTCGGTATTATGCAACTATGTCACTGAATTTTGATGCAGTTATGAGAATGGATGCAGCCTGAGTCTCTCTGGAATGTTGGTGGTTATTGTTTTTAGCTGTCCGCTGCATGTCTTGCATGATACCTAATGCTGCTTGCTATGCCGCTGGAATCAATGAAGTCCGGATGGGCTTGTAAATTTGGCTTTTTTGGAAGGATTGAAAAGAGGTAAGGATCTTGAATTGTGTTTTTTTTTTTTTTTTTTCTCCCAACTCTTTTGTAAAATGTAAAAATTGTCAACCGAGATCTTCCCTCTGATGTTTGGTTGTTACTGTAAAGATGACCAAATCCCTGACTGATGGGTTTAATAATGGAAAAATGAATACTGTAGACAAACTTTTTTTTTTGGACAGACATTTCCCATGCTGTCTTTTGGATTTCTTTTTAAAGTTTGCTGGGTTCTTGCTTTAATGTCCTTGAATCTCAGTTCCCAACAATCGCTGATTATCACCTGCCAGAAACGGCTGAAGAGAGCACAAACCCAGCATTGTGCGGCCGCTGCCAGCCAACACTTTGCTGCTGGCTGGTGTCCATTGGGCACTTTCTTTGTGGAGGTGCTGTTGTAAAGACCACTTCAGCCTTGCCTTGCTTTTAGGGCACCAATGTCTTGGAATCCTAAGACCAAAGTAGGAGTGAGAGCGATGGGAGGTGGCCACGGGGTCTGTGCCCTGCTCGTTGAGTTTCCAATCGGCTCAATCCCGGATTAGTTTACTGACGGAGATGCTGCTGATCCTTTTGCCAAATCAGGCCTTGCAGCTGCACCCACATAACCCTGCAGCACTCGGTGAACTTAACTGACAGTTGAAAGATGGAGGCTTTCATTCAAAGGTTTTTAGTGAATGCCTGGCAAGAAAGTCAGTGGCACCAGGACTCAGAAGTTCTTTCTAATCTACAAATGCTTTAATTTAAACTCCTGTTTTTGGCTTTCACAGAAGCCATTGTGCAAGCTCGCTGTCGCTTTGTTTACTGTATAGAGTATTTATAACAGCAGATCAAGAGACCCCTGAGGAGAATTCCTCCCAGGGAATGTTTCCGTTGCTCCCGGGGGGAAGAACCAAGCCGTCACAGAGTTTGCCTGAATCAAGGAGAGAGCACTATGTCAACCACAATGCATGTAGGCTAAAAAAAAACAGCGCTGCTGCTTTCAAGCGACAAAAACAGGTGGGACCCCGACAGATAACCTGCTCCCCCATCAACAGGTACCTTTTCACAGCAGCTTTTGTGTTTGACAGAGTGGCTGATGTTATATGAAGGAAAGGTAAACATGTACTGTGACTTATTAGTATTAGTTTAAAGCTGTAAGGATTAGTAAGGAATGAAAACACAATGTGATACTGTTTAGTTTAAGCTGCATCTCTGCTTGTTTATGGGTGGGAAACCTGAGCGCTGCTATCAACGCGTGTGAAAGGAAGAAATGACGCCTGTTTGCTAAGGGAGCGTAGGAAAGACAGGAGCTGAGATTGGATTGGTAACAGAAGTGAAGTGAAGTTACTTAGGAGGCAGTGAACCGGCCTGAAGTCAAAGATTTCACACAATCTCCCCTTATCGGTCTGCCTGCATGCAAAGGGAACAATTTGGTTACATGGAATTGAAATAGATTTATCAGAAGATTTCTGCTGTTTTTAAGAAACAGGCTGCAGCTTTCTGGAGTTGGGTTTTTAATGCTTTTTAAAATTTGTTATGATTTCACATCTTTTTTTTTTTTTTTTTAGAGCTGAAATTACATTTCCCACTGCAAGCTTTTGGAATGGCCATATTTAAAAAATTTAATGTGTTTGCTTTGTTTATGCATTTTAGTAGTTTTATAATTAGTTTGAATGAGTGGTTTAATAAACAATATGATTAGCAGCAAAAAAAAGGACATTTGAACATTTTATGAGCAATAAATTCAGCTTTTTAAAACAAAATAAAAAAATAAATATAATTAAAATAATCTTTTCAACACTTTAATCTCTGTTTAACCCATTTCAAAAAGGGACTCATGCCCAGATGTCCCCTTCTCTATGGCCATCGTCTATATTCTTTACTGCTAACATGAAAATACTCCCATACTGTCTACTAGAAAACAGTCCTGTGGGGAATGTACCCACAGCTTTTTGGTTTCTGAAAGAGACGTGTGTGTTTTAAGAGCGGTCAAGCATAGGAACTGGCCTGACAGAAAACAGATCTTTCTTTTTCTTTTTTAAGTCAGCAGCACCATGTTTGCTAACGCTGAGGGAGGATGAAACTATTTCCATGTTTACAGCAGACCCAACGCCTGTCTTTTTTTCTGCAGAATGTGGCACAAGGGTGGCACACATTGCACCTTTGGAAGTTTTGCACCTTAGTCTCGATAAACCCAAAATCTTTAATGAAATAGAAATATACATGACACAAATATGTTTTCCTGGATCCTATGTGAATGATTTGCCTTTAGTTTGTAGGTGATACAAGGAAGACATTTTACAAAATTAACAAAATTGTAAGAAAAAAAAATCAAATGATGTAGAATCAAAAGATTAGCTGAAAGTTTTTTTTCTCTGCTTTAGGATCTACTGAACTGTGATTTTCTTGTTTTAAGAAGTTTATAAATATATCCAGACTTCATCACATATTTAAAATATAAAAGACTTTTCCTGCGATAAAGTTTCTATTATGGATGTCATTGTCTGATATTATTAGTTCGAAATTAGCCAAAAAACTAATATTTAAAAACTCAGATACTTTCATGCTGATAGAAACATTCTGCTTTTGTTGAAACTTTCTGTAACCCATGGGTTAATTTTACCTGAGTCAGTTATTTGTAATACCTTTTGATGTTGACTTTTGTTCTCTGTTTTAGTAATGACATTTGATCAAGCCTTTTTTAAATATTCTACAGTATAAAATAAATAATTGAAGCTGGTGTGACCCATAATAATATTGTATCGGGTCAATATCCTGTCGGCCAATTCTCAAAGCTGGGATAACGGGACATCCCTAGTTTCTAAGGTCTTTGTGTTTCTTGTAGGCCTGGCTCAGGTCACCTCTTCTCTGATACCCCAATTGTGTTCTTTGCATTATTGCATTATATTCATCTTGATTCTAAGGATATCCTGATTATCGGAAATTCGTCCAATAGCCAAAAAGACGAATTTCAGAATATATTGGCCTGCATCTAAAATGTCTGATAACAGCAGTGCTCTACTTCAAACCTGTTGTTTTTTTTCGACTGTTCGTCTCTGTATCGTATCAGGAATGAAAACATTGAATCTTTAAATTCCTTCTTAATTCACCATAAATACTTTAGTTTCAAATTGAATCTCTTAGCAAAGCATATTTACTCTGAATTTACTCTTGAGTTGATAAATAGTGTTTGTTGGACTTATAAATGGGTGTTTTCTTACAGAATGATGTGTTTACATTGTTTTTTTTTTAGTTTTAGTTTTTTTTTCTTTTTTTCCGCCTGCAGACTGATTTCCACATCAGTGTTGGGTTCAGGGTCGTCCCCAGAGACGCTAGAGTTGATGTTGGGGCAGCTGCCTCAGAAAGTTGCAGTGTTTAAAAAAAAAGCAGCAATGGATGGGTATGATTTCGTAGACTGATGACCTTTTCGTACATTTGGATTCAGGTCTCTGGATGCTCCGCGGCGCCCTGTCCTCGGCCGCCCCGTGCTTCCCAATGGCCGGGAGTTGACCATGAGCAACAGGATGACGCTGCGCGAGCAGCTGAGAGAGAAGATCTCGGCAGCCTTTTACCGGCACGGGCTGCTGTGTGCCTCCTACCCAGTACCCATCATCCTCTTCACCTCTGCCAGCATCCTCACCTGCTGGTAGGTACCCTCTGATGATGTTCCTGAGCCGATTCGTCGTAATAGATCATTTATTAGGATTTGCAAATGTATTTATGCCCATTCTAGTTTTTTTTTCTTGCCATAAGAGCTACAGACTTCAACGTAACTTTTTGTATTTTATGATTTTTCGGTATTTCACTAATAGAGGATAATCTTTAATACGGTTTTCAAGTTTCATGGTCAAATGAAACATTAACTCTATATTTGTATTTAACCCCGTTTACTCAAATACCCTAAAGTTAAATCCAATTGCCATTAAAAGCCACTTAATTAAGAGTTTACCTCTCTGTGTTTAAACTCGGTATAAAAAAACAGACATTAAAGGTTTGATGGAGAGCATTTGGGAATGAATAGCATATAGAAGACCAAGGAACACAGCAGACGAGTGAAGGGAACGCTATGGAGAAGTCTAAAGCAGGTTTAGATTATAAAGAAAGTATGGCAAAACTACGACCCTGATTTAAACTGGCAGTTTTGGCTTACAGAGCATCAATTAGAGAAGGAGCTGAAGTTAAACGGTTACTATGAAGGTGTAGCGATTTGATGAAGGTGCTTTGGCCAAGTGGGCTAATATCGAATTGCATTTGACCCTGAAAACATCATACATGCGACCCATAAGGTGGCAGCATTATGTTGTTGGGCTGATTTCTTTAATTATGGAGGGAGTTAAGTTGATGGGAGTTGTTGGGGAGGATGGAGATGGTTGGAGCTGGATTTATGACCAACCTGGGAGAACAACAGGTTCAAAAGCTGCAAAAGACCCTGAACTGGTGTAGAGGTGACGTTTGAAAGTGACTTTTATTTATGTGCATCACTGGACAAATACAAATCGAACACCTTCTTTAATTTGTATTTGTTAAAAAAACAACTTAAAAATAACCAAATCTTTACCTTTAACTCCATTTTTGTTTATTTATTATATAATAGTTTTTTTTATCCATTCTTGGACAAGCTGTTTAAAGTTTGTTTTCGTTTTAAGATCCTTATGTTTTCCACATGTTCTAATCTTGTAAAGTTCTTAGATGTTTCGCCCACCTTTCATCTGCATCTGTTAGAAAACTTTGATCAGATTTGTTCTTTTATTGCAGAACTTTGGCTTTATTTGCTCTGAACTTTGTGGAAAGGTTTTAGATCTACAGTTTGACTTATTTCCCCTTTTTTGGCCTCTACTGAAACATGAAAGAGAATCAGAGTTGTCATACAAAGTGGATACGCTGAACTGCGCAGAATAAAGCTGAGATTTGGCTCACTTCAAGGCCATCTGTACACACATAATAACAGTTCCCTGCTGACAGCACCACCATTCACTTAACACGTGCACATACAGTGTCTCCTCTTGCTAAATAAGTGGTCCAAAGAGAGGACATAGGTCAGAGACTTGCCCGGGCCCCATCAGCGCAAAGATTGTAAAACAATCACACCGATCTAAAACACAGTCATGCACTTGCTGCGTGCTTTCCCTCAAGCATATTACAGCAGGGTGCCGGCCAAATGGAAGACTGCCTGCCACCCAGGGGGGGGAAAGTGAGGGAAGAAAGAGCTTGTCGACAGGGCTGTTAAAGGCAAAGCTGGGGCAGAGGGCTGTGAGAAAGTGGCCCTGGGAGAATGGGATGCCTGTCTCTCCATCTGCCCAACAGGAGGGGGGCTTGCTGAACACAAAAGAAGCTTTTGTGTAGGTACAGTGACCTGGGAGGACTGGAGGAGGCCGTGGAAAGCATGGATGCAGGGAGCCTGGTGAAAGGAGGGGTGTTTCACTCAACCCAGAAACGCATATCTAAAGGAGCAGAAAATATTTGCCCAAGTGGAAAAACTGCACTTCAGTCTGAATAGATGATCTGTATTTATCAAAATAAATGGATCAGAATTTTTTTTGCATCCTTGAAATGGCCTGAATTAGTGAACAGAACCAGCTCTGGAAGAAAGGTTAATTGACTCTGACATTAAGTCCTCCGTTTTATTTTGTATTGGTGATGGTGTGTTTGCTTTTTTTGTATGAAACAATTAATACTTTTTAATTGTGAATAATTCATTATTGAAATAATGGTCAACTAATTTAATCATCGATTAATGTTTAACTGGAGTATAGAGACTCTAAAACAGGCTTTTAGCTGACAGTGACCTACTTAGAGAAGCAATTATACCAAAATTTGAAAAAAATAAAAATAAAAAATACCCTTTTTGTCCAACAATGCTCTATCCAGCCTCCTCATTTGGAAACGTTTTAGTTACATCTAGTTTGAATTCGTAAAAAGTCTTCTTTGGCTATCAGATTTTTTATCGAATAAATAATCAACAGATTAATCAATTTGCAATCATTAGCTGCAGCCCTACTATTAATATGCTCTATCAGAAGTCATCAAAGAATACAGTTTTAGCTTCATTTGGTTTAAATTCTATGTGAAATCTTCTTTAAGGAGCATTTTTCCACCCGATTATTGATGGATTAATCAATTAGAAAAATATTCGTAAGTTGCTTAATGAATCATTTGGACCAAGAGATAAATGAGATGATGACACAGTTAAGCCTTAGTTTTTCCTGTTCTGACCTAAATATACAAACATTGCCTCCAAGCCGAGACCTTTTTTCTTCGTAAAAGAACAGTCTGAGTCTCAGATCAGTTATAGCACAGTTTCCTGTTTCATTCAGGTAAGCTCTTCTTACATGGGCCCAGACATGTCCGTGACACAGCGCTGGCTGTTTTCTTGAATGAAATGGACCAACCTAGTTGCAGGAGAAAAAGTGGATCAGTTCTGCCTTTATTTAGCGGGTTTGAATTGGCCAAGCGAGAAAAGCCAGAGGTGCAGGTTTAATCCTCCCAGAGGAATCTGTCAGACACAAAGGAAACACCCAGCTATCTTTCCACTCTGTTCATCTTGGCTTTCAAGAATTTTATATAGTCATGTGGCCGAACTAAAGAGCTGGTTTGTTGGTTGTGTGATTATTTTAATAAATTATTATTTAAAGTATATTTGAAAGCAAACCAGGACTCACAGGTTCCCTCTCCACACTCATTCTACCAGTTATCCGCTGCTGAGGCTTCCCCTGCCTGGGACAGGTCCTGTGGAGTTCACCACAGGGGTGCGAGACTACAGCGTCCCTTCCCATGAGCCTCAGGGAGATCTAGAGCGACCTGATTGGGTAAGAGAGGAGAGGTCACATATGTACTTTATTTGGGAAAAGAAAACAGAAAAGTAACACAAAGGCTCTAAACAGTCCTATATGTACAGTATAAGCAGTGCTTTGCCGAGGTCTTTATGCACCTTGTACTTTCCTGTGGCTCTCGTTACAACCACAAACTGCCATGTAAATTTGGAGATGGCAAACTTTAATGCGGTTCTTCAGTCCATTTCCATGGTGTCATTTTGCTTCTACTTAACAATTATACTGTGATATCTATATGATGCACAGACTTTTACTCTGCACCGCCATCTGAGACACCCGTACCTATTTGTTTCTGTTTATATGTCAATGTTTACATTCTACCTATTATTTGCACAGAATAGTGTCTATTCTATACTATTATACTTTTTAAGTTTTAAGCTGTTATGTTGTTAGAGGACCGAGAGTCACTGCATTTCAGTACCTCATTATGTCCTTGTATGTTTGCAGAAATTGGCAATAAAGCGGACTTAAGTACTTAATTTTTCACCAGTCGCATACAAAGTTGAAAAGTAAAGACCTCTTATATTAATGCTTTTAGAAGTACTTAGAACTGTGTGTACCGTATTTACCAGACTAAAAGCTGCTACTTTTTCCCACGTTTTGACTATGCGGCTTATAAGAAATTTTTTTTTTACTTTTCTGTTGACTTTCCTTATTCCCAGAGGGGGAAGTCAAAGTTGGAAATGAATGAATAAGGGGTTAATTTTCATTTAGCACAAGAACATGCTAGCAGCAGACACAGCGTAAAACAAATTTCCTGAATTCACATATTTTGACATCTATTTGTCGCATTAAGGCTGCAAAACCAATAAAGAGACTGGGCATTATTCCTGCATAACTCCTGCAGAGTTAAAGAGGCGACGAAGCCCCGTCTTTCAGTAGAAGCTCTTAGTGTGCGAGCCAACAAGCTAACGGGAGCTAGCATTCTTCTTCGTTCCTACTCCAGCTAAATGTAGAGCTCCCCCTACAGGTTTGGTGGGAGACAGTTCAGTAGATATCAGCTGCTTATAGGTCGGTGCAGCTTATATATGCAAGTTTCCAGTTTTTCTAAAAAATGTAGTGGGTGCAGCTTATAGTGAGGTGTGCTCTATAGTCTGGAAAATACGGTAAACACAATTCTGACCCGCTAGTTTAAATACATTAAAAATCTCATTTGTGTGTGATTGCTGATGAATGTGTTGCCTGTCTATGTGTTTGCGGGCTGTGCTTATGCTGCAGTACCATGGACCTCCGGTCGCCTACATTCAGCAGGTGTTGGTGAAGGCAGCGGTGTCGCCGTGGGACAGCAGCCTCGTGCCGGTGGATGTGTTCCGGTCACCTCTGGGTAAAGTCTTCAGTCTGCTGGAGGAGATCCATAACCACGTCCACTCCGATGGGTAAACGCACTGTTGGATTACTGATGAAGGAAGTGGTTAGATCTTGTGCGACCATTGTACCAACCTTTGGTGCTTTTGCGATAAACTGGCCTCCTCATGCTTTTGCAGAAGGTCAAACAAACTCTGGACCTCAACCTGTTTTGCGTCAGCATAAAAGAAAACATCCCTGACCTTACAGAAAGAACAGCTCTGAACATGTAGTGAGCTCTGTTTGTTGCAAACTAGCAGGTTTTGGAACTGTCCCCTCTTTCACTTGTTTTGCAGCTGCACCATGCAGGACTAAGCTGAACCCTGATTTGTAGTTCAGGGGCTTGTTTACGGATCAGCTGACGTGTGTTTAAACATACTGACCTATCAGCCATGTCGTCCTTTTATTCCAGTTAATACTAAAGACAAACACTAAACATTGATCGTTTGATCTCAAATAGTTTTATTTAAATAACTTTTTAACATCTCTTTTTTTTTTCTACCGTCTTGTTTCTTCTCTTTTCAGCTCTGGCGTCCGAAGCTTGGAAACGCTGTGTCTCCAGGTGACTGATCTGTTTCCAGGGTTACGGCGGATGCAGTCGGTGCTGCCAGAACATGGCTGCCTCCTTGTTTCTCCTGGTAACTACTGGCAGAACCAGCGAGATCTGTTCGACTCGGACTCGGACCTCCTCAGGACCATTCAGAAGCACGAACCAAAAGGATTGCACACCTCAGCAACGCTACGAGGTAGAGCCTGAGACCAATCTGTGGATGGTTGCTGAATATGATGAGGATGGATGCAGTGGGAGCTTGTAAAGTCCTTCCCTTTCAGTTTAAGATTTTACACCAAAATCTTTGTGTTATTTAAATTCTTACTAACTTAACTTTGCAAATAAACTTCATTGTGTTTCTTTGGGTTTTTTTTTTTAACCTGGAAGGAAACAATGAATGTTTTTTTTTTTTTTTTATGTTTGGAGATAAAATGTTTTAATGTTCTTTAATGAAACAAGAATGACTAAATTCATAATTTAATAAAAGGCCATATGTTACAAAGTATTTTATTTTTTGACGTTAGCTTAAACCAAGGACCTTTTCTGTCAACATTTATTATATAACTATTTCATCTTCTGTGTTGCTGAAATCCATTTTAGATCAAATTATTTGTTCAAAATGCACCTGCATCTGCATCGAACCCTGCATCTGGGAACATAATTGCTTGATTTTTAGCCCGTTGAACTCCCTACTAGTTTAAATATGTTATACAATGGTAAAATGGTGATTGATTCTTCCTGTGTCAGTTGCCAGTGAACAATGCTTGCTAAAACTAATGAAATGTTAGGCCTTTAAGCTGATTTATCTTGAGCAGTTTTATTTCTCTGGAACTTGTTGTATTTGCGAACCCCCCCCCCCCCCCCACAAACACACACCCACAGTGAACTAAGCCTTTCTCCATGCTTGCTCAGGATATTGGCCTATCTTCTAGCTAAAGTAATTCACAGGAGCGATGCTTATCAGGATGTTATCTCCTTACACAAATGACATCAACACATAGACGTAGCATATGGCTGCTGGCTTTGATCTTTATACATAGCAGCAATAAATGATCTCATATGAGTAAATAATATGATGGTTGGTTCATCTATACCAGGGATCTTCAACCTTTCATATCCAAAGAGCCGTTTTGCCCAGAGTACGACCAAATAAAAGTTGTTTAGAGCCGCAAAATATACCATGACTTTTTCTAGAAAACCTTTTTTTTAAAAATCCTGTGTAGGAAATTAGTTGTTGCCATCTCAAACAATCAATTCATATATTTTTAATGTTATAATTTTCAAGCTAATTCATAGAAAAATGTCTCTTAAAACATATTTCTGGTTCTTTTAATCTCATTCTTTTCCATCTTATAAAAAACACTAAAGCTATTTATACCGGTATGTATTATAGTAAATTATTTAGCTCTTTATATACATTATAGCCACTATTAAGAGCTGCTGGTTGCAGATCCCTGATCTATACTGAATACCCCACTATTTCCCTCTTAACTGAGAAATTTAGGATCCCGGTAAAGTCATCAGTCCGACGCGTGGTTCTGTAGCCACGACATGGAAAAAATAATTGTTCGGGGTTTAAAAAAAAATCATAAATCTGTCTTTGTGTGTTTTTTTTTTTTTTCAAGACCTGCTGTTCGGTGTCCCTGGAAAGTACACAGGAGTCAGTCACTACAACAGGAAAAGAGTGGTCACATACACCATCACTGTGGTGCTTTCCAGATATGACGCAGGGTGAGTTACAAAGGCACTCAAAGCTGTTAGACATTTAGACTGCCACATATACCCCTGAGTAAAATCTCAATGTTAGCTTCAGAGATTGAATTTGCATGAAGTTTAATTAAGTTGTCTTTATTTTGAATTAATAGTACATTTATTTTAAGACATTTGGTGATTTTAAAGAGGCAGCAGCAGGTTCTCTAGGATGGCATCGGCTTTAGTGCTCTTTAAAATTCTGTGTGATTTAAATGTCAAAGGACTTTTGTCTTAAAACAGGAAAAGGTCTACTTGCATGGTTAATTATGACCAGTAAAATCTTTAAAAGTTGATATTCTTCTTACGATAATCAAGGATCAGTCTGATATTTGGAACAGATAATGATGGGAGGCCTGTGATCTCCCTCTCTGAACCTGATCCCACCACACAGATAATCAGTTATCCTCCCAGAAATGTTGTTCAGACCACTTCCTTTGCTTGGTTTATCGCCCCTAGTTGAAAGATTTGTTCGAGCTTGCTTAGGAAGTATTTAAAAGCTCGCCCTTCAGGAAATTCAATTGTATAAAAATACAATTCAATAATAAAAATCCACCTATTTACTATCAAATGTTACGCTGTTTTATTGACAGAGGCTGGTATAACTCAGATCAGTTTTGTCTATAAGCCTCCAGAACACAAAGGCCTCCTTATAAGTCCCCTTGTCATGGAAACACAGGCATTTATTCTGCTTCAGTTGATTTTAGTCTTTTAAAGGAGCTGTTTGTTTAAAAATCAAAGCTGAAAATATTCTGCTTGTTTGCCAGGCACTATTTTCTGTGTTTATCTTTATTTGTTATTTCATGTGTCATAATTTAGCAACCGTTTAATCAAGAGATGGATCAATGCATCCACTGGCTGATGTTTTTGGCCAGCAGCCATGCTTTGAATTCAACCTCGTTTGTTTTATCAATTAATGTTTAGTTTCTTATTTTTTGTTTAAATTGTGTCCTGTGTAACATCTGTTATCATTGTGTCCTTTTGATAATGTAAAGGAAGAGGAATCAGCCCAAAAATATTGGCAGCACAAAGTGGGGATCAGTTAGATTCATGTCAAAATAATCTCTAGTTTAATCCCTGGAAGCATTTTACTTCACAATCAATAGAATCAGAAGCAAGCTTTATCACCAAGTAATGTTTAGCATTTACAAAGGATTTGTTTTGGTACTGAGGTGCGACACACTAACATAAAATTGACATAGTACATTTCTAAATAAACATTTGGAATCAATACCAGTTATAATGGAGTGTTATGATATAATAGATGAATATCTGAACCCCCTGCCACACCTTGATGATTTAGACCAGCATATGCCTGACATACGAGAAGTCTGGCAAAAACACTGGCATACGTTGGATAAGTTATGGGTATGTTTTTTATAAGTTATGAGTGAAATGTCTTGATTTATGCCAGCGTATGCTCATATGTGGGCCATTAGTTACAGGTAAGTGATCTGATTGTCAACATAGGTTAAATCTAAGTTACTCATAAGTCTTGGTGTCTAGCTTATCCAAAAACTATGAGTAACTTATGCATAAATTATCAAGAACTTCTCTCCAACGTATATCAATATATCTGACGTATTCCAAACGACTGCTGAACGTGTTTCTAATGTAGAGCTACTGTGTAATGGCGTATTGGAAGCGTTTTGGTATAAAAGGGGGTTCACAGGAGGAAACAATTCTCCTCTAGATTTCATCCACATCATAGGGTGAGCAAGGAGAGTGTGATTGATCCTCCCCCTGTTCACGACAATGGCAAACAAATTTCCTAGCAGACATGACGCTAAATCTGCTGCAACTTTCTTTCTTTCTTTCTTTTTTTTTTTTTCATTTTTTTTTTGTTGTTGTTACAAGCCAGGACTCTGGCTTATAACATTTTATGGGCATTACACTGCCGTGCGTTAAGCATAAGTTAGGCTGTCGTTCGACAAAAGTTCTGGACTCATTATGAATACTCTGTTTATACGTCCAAAAATTTAAAAAATGCATAGAAAGTTTAGAGTATGCCAGTGTTTTAGGAGATTCTGGGACGTCGACATACGCTGGCAAAATTGTCAGGGTGTGACAGGGCCCTTAGCTTTTTTGTGATCTAAACATTAAAACAATAAAGGATCTTTTTGTGTTTTATTTGTTCACATTTTTCGCTACATATAACATGTAGTTACGGTGTCTGTTGATGTTTTCAGCTTTCTAAACAGCCTGCGATCCCGCCTGAAGCAGCTTCACCCCTCAGCCAACTGCAGCCTGAGAGACGACCACATGGTTCACATCCACTTCAAGGAGGAGATCGGCATCGCTGAGCTAATTCCCCTGGTCACCACGTACATCATCCTCTTCGCTTACATCTACTTTTCCACTCGTGAGTCCCGCTTCACCCCCGTCCTATACCCTTTTTTTCCCTACATCTTAAATTCTCTCTTAGCTCCTGCTGGCTCGCCTCTGCGCCGTTTTACTTTCTTACGGTATATTATTTTATTTTTTTTAACAGGCACACATTCAGACCCGTGCCCTCTGTACTTTTGTTTTTGCACGTTTGTTTGTGTGCCAAGGTTGTTCCTGTCTGGCACAGGATTATCCTCCCACTGGAACACTGCACACCTCTGTAAGAACGCTGCAAGCAAAAGCCTTCAGCAAGCTGCCAGTACAAACATTACTTCAGAGGGCCAACGCATGCACTCAAAAATAAACATTAGTTCAATTTTGGTGCCTTTTCCTAAAGTGATTAACAACCTGCTTATGACTGCAGTCTTTATGGATTTATTTCAGAATCAGGTTCAGTTATAATCACTTGTTTTTTGCACATTATCAGAGAATTTGACTTTGGCTCCATTCTGTCCTCAATTAAGACATTTTTGTAATTTTTTATTTGTTGGTATCACTGTTGTTTTGATATTGAAAAGGTAAGATATGAGTCGTCTGTTAATAAATTACAGGTTAAGTTAAAATAATTTCAGCGCCTTTAAAAAATCCTAAATTTCACATAAAACTTGTGTAATGAGGCAAGAATCTTTGCCCACTTCCAGCCGAGCAGCCAAATAAATTTCAGGCTCGTACATGTAGACGTGCACACAGGGAACACAAGGACGCTCAGTGTTTAAATTTTGTCACTCTCACGTGGCAATAAAACAAATCAGAGAAGGTTTCATTGACTGACCTTTTAGAGGAGAGCTCACTACACACTGCAGTCTGCAACCTGGAGGAAAACATTTCAGCTTGTCTGACCTTCCTATATTTTATCATTTTAGTAATTTCAAGTAAAAACTTCTGACTCCTCATCCCTGATGATTCTGTAACAGTCTACTTTAAAATGTTGAAATTAAACAATTTTCAAAATCGGTCATATTTCATGAAGAAAAGCAACCAGACTGTGATTTGTAATCGTTTCCATCACTATTGCATAGCTTGTGTTGGGACCTACAAAAGAGCATTTTGTAGGTCCCTGTGTGTTGAATTAATTACTGGTCAAATTATTTATTTTTGGTGGGGTGGGTGGGCAGGTCTGTCCTGCATCTTTCCGGTTTGGTGGATTCCAGTGTTCATCTTTCTCAGAATACAGCAGAAATAAATTGTTCCAAAAACTATCCACATTTCTGTACTTAGTTTTGAGTTTTGATTACATTTTGTGAAGAGTTTTTTGTTTTTTTCCCCCCATTATTTTCCCATTATTATATCTTAAGAGAGGCAAGGGAAAGTCAAATTTAGATCTAACTGAATAGTTTTCTCATTTTTAAAAATCGTAACTTATGACTATAAGAGCTGTGATGAATTCAGTCTAAATCACAACAAGGCATTTTGATTAGAAACCCAGCACAAAATCATTTTGAGTGTTTGTTTTCTTTTGAAGCAAAATTTTATCAAAATAGTTTAAAATGTCAAATCTGTGTTTTTGGCTTAACTTACCACTTTTATTGATTTTTCTTTCCTTAATATTATCTAATAAAAAATAAAGGCCAACGCTAAGATTTCAACATTGTGGTATGGAATCTGTTGAAATGATCACAAAATTGCAAATATCATCATATTAACGCTGAATCCCTGCTGCTGTAGTGCACATATAACTATAATGTTATTTGATGATGACTGTTTTGAAAGTGTAACTCTACTCCATGTGTGCTGTATAGTAAAGATGTGAGGGTATGGAATAAACTCCAGAAAGAACTTAAGCAATGTCCAAGCATGCGTCTGTTTAAAAAAAGGCTCAAACTGTTGTTCCTCAACATGTACTGTGATGAGGAGGTGAGGTGAATGGTATCACTGCTGAGCACTGTGTGTGGGTGTGTATGCTGTGTGTATGCATGGGGGTGCTGGGCCCTCTCCTCTGCTCCTGGTCCTCTGCTCCGGCAGCCTGACGCTGCAGTTGTTGAAGAGGATGGATCTCAGTACTCAGAGTGCTGTGGAACGTGGGTGTGAATGTGGATTTAGGCCAGATGTGTGTGTAGGTAGGCATGTGTGTGTGCATATGTGTGCAGATGTAAATATTGGTATGTAAATGGGTATGTATATGTATGTATGTGGGTGTGAAAAAAAAAAAGATAAAAATAAAAAAAAAGATAATAAAAAAATTTAAAATAACAACAAAACATAGATGTTAAACAGGAAGGTACTTTTAGGTTGCTTTCAGTGCAACTAGAGGGAGAAGGGGTATGATAGATAAGTTCTACTTCTTCATACCCCTTTTCAGACAATTTACAGTAAGTTCAAATTATTAAATCGAATCGGAACAAGAAATTTAAATTAATATTTACCATCATTTTTTTATGTGATACAGATTTGTTAGTATTTCTGAAATTGATTTAATTATTGTTATTATTTGATCATTTCTGAAATTGGAATTGTTCTATTTATTATTATTTGTTCTTTTGATTCATTTATATTATTTGTTAATTTGATTTATTTATTTTATTTTTTTTTGTTCATTCATTCAAAATATTCATTCATTCATTCATTCATTCATTCATTCATTCATTCATTCATTCATTCATTCATTCATAAATAATGTCAAATAATTTACTCTAAGTGGTTCTTTCTTTTTATTTTCCCCTCCAAGATGTTTTCTTTAGTTTCTAGGCAGTAAAATGCTGTCCTTTTTTAGTAATAATTTCTAACGGACAGTCGATCAGTAATCCTCTCCTCCTTCCTTGCAGGTAAGATCGACATGGTGCGGTCCAAGTGGGGCCTGGCCCTGGCTGCCGTGGTCACAGTCCTCAGCTCCCTGCTCATGTCTGTGGGACTGTGTACACTGTTTGGACTGACACCCACACTGAATGGAGGGTAGGCACTCCCACATTTTTGTCATACTTGAGTTAAGATAGCTGAAAAAGGTTCGGTCCACACAATTGGTGGTTTGTCTTCCACCGCCAAACATTGTCGCTAAGAATTCAACCTAAAAAAAAAAAGAACTAACTTTATGTTGAAGTTGTAGAACTTTCTATGAACCCAGTACCTTTTCTTTCTTGTAAAGTGTTACTTAAAAGGTCCAGAGGGATTTTAACTCCTTATCAGATTTATTATGTCTTTCATTCAGGATTAATTTTATTTGACCTGCATATTTGCAAAATGATTTCATTTATGATCTTTATCCATAACAGCCAGTATTACAGCCATGTAGACTCGGCTATGATTGGTGCATAAAGTCACTAATAAGATTCACTACTTTTAGCTTCTGAACATCTGCAGGTTCTATTGAGTCACCTTAATGCTCTTTATTTGCATCCGCATGTGTTTAGTAAACGTTTCCTGTTAGTTTTATTACCTGTTGCTGTTTCCACTTGTCCACACACACACTTCAGACTTCCGGCTTCTATTTCGGTTTCCCAATAATGTGTGTTAATGTTTACTACCAGACTTGAAAAGTCAGTGTGTCATTGTTGATAGACAGGAAGCAGTGGGAGTGGATGTGGGTTGGATAAAGTCAGAGGGAGGAGATTCAGTCTTGTTGACGTTAAATGCTTCGTCCAATCATTTGGGGATATAAAAGAGCTGACATCGTGGCGTGATAATGGCACTCTGGTGTTCAACCACTGTCTAAGATCCACGCATGTCTGCCGTGGGCTGTGCTCTGTATGGGTGGGCTTGCACAAACACAAAGCAGGAGGAAACGTCACCAAACAATTGCAACTCCTACAGGTCATAACCTAAATAAATAAAAGTAATAATTTTTTTTACATCACCTATCTACTTGAATTTATAAGACTCTCTGTTTTCATATGAATAAATGAAAAGGAACAAATGGGCCCTGATGTGGACTCTGCTTAGTCACGGTTGCTCCATGCTTAGAGCTGCAGAGTTAAGTGTGTGAGAGTGTGATGTAATATGTAGAGCTGCTGACTCCTCTGAGACCCAGTTATACACTTACCTCCAAAGCGCTTGCTTATCAGGACACTCATAATAATCTCTCGTCACACTCTGTAATGGGAGGAAATTCCCTGCAGGCATCATTCAGTTACTAGCTAGTTGTTATGGGATAATTGGCTGTTTTACTGAAAGCTAATCTGAGATCTAAATGATCCAGATTTTTTGTTCCCGAATGTTCCCTTTGACAAACAAATCTGAATTTGTTTTAGACTTTGCTTCTTTTTTATTTTATTGTTGATTTTCTGTAGTATTTGTAAGAAGGGGCTGATCTTAATTGCTGGATTGATCTGGTGAAAGTGTACAGTACCTTTGAGCAAACATCATTTTTGTTTGTGGTCTTTTCTGTAGTGATGTTGATTCACTTTCTTATTCGAACTTTAAAAATATATAAAGAAAAGATAAAGGAAAGAACAGAGTGAAAGCACATTTTCCCAGCCTGATGGCTGCCATTATGTGGCAGTGAGGAGGGGGAAGTCAGGAGAAATGTTGTCTGAGAGGCTGAGAATTTAAACATCTTTATACTTCACAACAGTTAGTTCAACATTATCACAAAGTCCTGTTCTGACCAGCATTGTTTATCCGATGCTTGCTAGAACACTTCCTGCAACAGCTGCTTCATCAGAAAGAAGCAGCTAAAAGTCTGACTTTCTTCATCTTAGCAGGTTTTTATTTATGTAGCTGGTAAAGTTTTTTTCTTTTAATCACTTTTTTTTTCTCGATTGGAAGGGTTTTCAGGGAAACTGCTTTAGACTTATACTATATATGGTGACACGTCCTGTATATGTGGTAACAGTGTTTACAAATAAACACCTCCCAGCCTGATTATTTAGCTACTCTACTGCACTGTCACAACCTGCTTCTCTCTAAAAGAAAATCAGACTGGAGGCAGACATGCATGTATAAACTGTTACTGTTTCTTTAGTTTTCTTTGTCTTTGAAGTTTTATGTTCATTTAATGTTTGTTAATGCGATGTAAGCAATGGAAACCGAAGTAAAGTTCCTTGTCTGTGTAGCTAACCTGGACAGTAAAGATGATTCTGGCTCAGACGTAAAGAATTTTATGCTCTCTGACTATGAGGAACGGAGCCCAAAAAAATCTGAGAAGCACAGGGAACTCAACTCTTAACATAAATCTGCGCCCAAAAAGAAAATGAGGGCAACAAATCCAAACTAACACAATCAACTGCAGGATTAATTGACCTTCTTAACACAAGCAGAGGTGTCAAAAGAATTAATGTTTAATACTCATGTAGAAGTAGAAATCCTACTGTTTAAAACACTTTTGTAGAATTTAAAATATCAACTTCAGCTTTTTACTCAAGTAAAAGTTTAAAAAAGTACAATTTTCAAAACTACTTAAGGTATAAAAGTAACACGGTTGCTTTACTGAACTAGCCTATTAAAGGAACATTTTCCTACATTTATGGATGATGTTTTTAGACTTAATTTCTTTGTTTTATACCTAATGGCAACAGTGTCAAATTTAGCTTTGTAATATCTTGCAAAACAAGTCCAACTACAAAGAAATTGTCAGGATGAAACAAATTATTTGTGATGATTTTTATTTTTTTTAAATACAAACAGGCCATAAAGAGAATCACCTCGAAACAAAAGCAACGAGTCTATTTTTAAAATGTAAGGAGTAGAAAGCAGAGAGAATTGTGGGGGAAAAAAAGAAAAGAAGTAAAAAGTTGTCTAAAAAAATAAATTACTCCAGTAAAGTATAGCTAGCCAAAATTTCTACTTTAGTAAGGTAAGGAATTTTTACCTTGTTACTTAACGCCTCTGCTCACAAGAGGGAACATTACATACATTGACCTAAACAAAACTACAACAAACAGACCAAGCTAATCTATACACTACAAAATCAGCAACCTATGAGAGAAAATAACTTACCGTAATTAAAGGTATAATGGAGAATTTTCACAAATTTGTGAAGAACCACCCTTTCCACTTTTAAAAAAATGCACATGCACAACCCCCTACCCACTGCAGAGAGGGAACGCTTATTAATAGCGTGCGAGAGCATGCATAAGCCCATTTCTCCTCTTACACGCTCTGTTTAAAAGTTGCTGTTTACATCACTCATACAAACTTACTTTCCAAAAAAGATTTGCAATTTTTCCACTATGTCAGACTCCTCCAGTAAGTGAAAATGTGGACAAGCACGAAGGACGGCCTTATGTAAACATATCAACAGAATGATTGACAATTAGGAGGACCATTTATTTTGATGGTCCACCTGGAAAAATCCTCTACATTACCTTTAAACTCCAATTTTAAAAATAAAAACTAACAAAATAAAAAAACTTAAACCTTCCCACACTTCTTCTAAAATAAGTGCAAGATTCCAATTAAGCTCTTTGAAGCTGGAGACTCTTGCTCCACACTGACCCAGTCAGGCCCACATGGCAGCCTCCCAGAAACTGGCAACCCAAATGAAAAGAATCAAATACAATATGGTAAACCATTATAAAGTTATCCGTTTAAATAAAAAAAAATACCAGACCACTTAATGTGGGGCTGCACATGCTACCATCACACTGACCTTTTCTTTTTTTTTCATCCTTCTTCAAATTAAGTCACAACTCTTTTCTCCTTGCAGTGAGATCTTCCCTTACCTTGTGGTGGTGATCGGACTGGAAAACGTCTTGGTCCTCACCAAGTCTGTGGTTTCAACTCCCGTTGACCTCGAGGTCAAACTCCGCATTGCTCAGGGTAGAGTGTTATTCAGTCATTCTTCTTTTTCAGGTTTATTGTAAAGGAAAAATACATATCCTTTGTTTTTTCCCTCCCTTCTCTAGGCCTCAGTAATGAGAGCTGGTCTATCATGAAGAACATGGCCACTGAGCTGTGCATCATTCTGATTGGATATTTCACTTTGGTCCCAGCTATTCAGGTTAGAGAAATGTGTTTTAATTACTGTACTATGGGGAACAAGTAAAGGATTTTATATATATTTATCTTTCTGGATTCTAAACAAGTAGATGAATCTGTTAAACAAGAGATGACCTATTAGAATATGAAGTGATGTCACATTATTTTTGTCTGTAGGAGTTTTGTCTTTTCGCCGTTGTGGGGCTCGTCTCTGACTTCTTCCTCCAGATGTTTTTCTTTACAACAGTCCTGTCTATAGATATTCGGCGGATGGAGGTAAGACCTGCTTGCAAACTTTAAAGAAGCTCAGAAAATAAAAAAGGAAGCCAATTCTCAGATTTCCAGTCTAAGTTTTTAGTTCAGTCTTTTTGCATATAATGAAACCAAATGGTGGCTAGGAAATGTGATTTAATAAAACACAAATGTCTTTATTGGTAGGGAAGTTGGACAGTAAAAATTATGACATAGGTGTGAATAAAAACACTTAAGCAGATAAGAACAGAAGTAAATTTGGATAATAAAACTCGGGAGATTCAATTCAAATGGTCAGAACTGAAATTTAACACATTTTAAAAAAGAAAAAGTATTTGTCTCCTAATCAAGTCTAGTTCTCGCACTGTTGGAAAAAATGTCCTGTGTTTGGTCTTACAAACATTAACAGAAGTGAAGTCCCTAACATGGAATTTAACTTATGAATGGTTGTTGTTAAAACCTTTTCTTACATTTTCCTCCTGAGAAAATGCAAACATCACACTGGGGACCTTAGAGTTCACCTTTTTTTTTTTTTGTACTTAAGGTTTTCATACAAATGAAAAACTACACTACAAGGTTTAGTTGAATATAAGCATTCATAACATAATAATCTTAATGATTGTTTCATTTAGCCTTTGGGGATCAGAAAATAAAGAAAGATGGACGACAGGAAGCAAAGAATTATCTTAAATGAAAACTGAATAGCAGTGAGGGACACGGAAATAGAACACATAAATTTGACAAAATGAACAGTTAAAAATTATAATGGTAATGAAAAACGGTTATAAGGTAATAAATGATTTGATAACTAAATAAGATGACGTTTATTTAGTCTCTTTACATGGAGTCTGCATGACTTTAAGTGACGTAAAGTAATAAGACTAAACCAATTACAGCTGGCCGACCTGAACCGCCGCCTGCCTGCTGAAGCCGGTCTGCCACCGTCAAAACCAGGCCCCCTTCGAACACGAGAGGCCCCCCCTCCTCCCCGACCATCCCCCCACACAATCACCCTGCAGACCCCGGCCTTCAGGAACCTGAGGCTACCGAAGAGACTGCGCGTTGTGTACTTCCTGGCCCGCACACGCCTGGCGCAGCGCATCATTATGGTCAGCCAACTAAAACTTGTGTTGAAACAATAGACTCTGTCTGATTTTAGTCTTTTAATTTTAATTTCTCTTTTACCGGTAGTCTTTTTTTCTTCTTCGTAAAATCAATTCTGACTGTATAGTATTGGAGATGCACCGTTCCGTTTTGTTTTCCGGATCAAATCCAGTCATATCCTCTGATATCTGATTCAACTGTTGAAATTCTAAACCACACATCTTGTCATGTGAGACGGCTTTAGTCTTGACATAGACCTTGTTAAAAAAGGTAACAAATTAACATGGATATAAAATGTATTTCATATAGTTAATTAACAAATAAGTAGCAAAAAGAAATAAACAGCAGTTCCCTCCAAGTGCACTGGATTGGATTGGTGCATCTCCATATTTGATACCTGTAGGGTTAGTTTTTTTTTTTTTTTTTTACTATTATTTATTTTGTAATGTGTTACTGTAATTCCTTATTAGAAATGCAGCATCTAGTCTTTGCAGTTAGATGAACTAATTTATTCAGACATTTTGATGTCATTACTTTCGTCCTTTTTCTCATCACAGCTCAATAAACTTTAACATAGTTTCCTTTCTACATTTTAAGGCTGGTACTGTAATCTGGATCGGCATCCTCGTCTACACTGACCCGGCTGGAATCCGCACCTACCTGGCTGCTCAGGTGTCTGAACAAAGCCCTCTGGGGGACCCCGTAGGTGGAGGTTTAACCCCCCATCTGGCTGTGGCCCCAGTTTTCCGGGGCGGGGATCCCACCAGCACTCTGAGCATCCACCCTGCTCCCGATCCAACTCCCCTACCTGAAAACCAATCGCAGGGCCACATTGCCCCAGCTGTACCGTTCCCCCATCTTCCCTCTGTGCCACAGATCACCTGGGGGGCCGAAGATGAGGAGGGATGGAGGAGGCTGTCTTTTAGACATTGGCCGTCGCTTTTTAGCTACTACAACATAACCTTAGCAAAGAAGTGAGTGTTGACTTCAGTTCTGCACCTAATGTCTAAATTCTGTCCAACTTGACCAAATTCCATTCAGCTGCTTTTCCATTTCAGGGAAGCATTAAAGATAAAAAATATTTCGATCTCTAGGTTCCTTCTGTGTTTAAAGTCTTAGCATTAGATCCTGTGTGGATCGAAAATGATATCCTCCCTGTCCATTCCAGGTACATCAGCCTTCTCCCAGTAATTCCTGTCACCATTCACTTGAGCCCCCAGGAAGCCATTGACACGCGTCACCCTCAGGACACAAGACACCCTCCACCTTCGATCCCTAAAGCCTCTGCAGATTTACAGACAGACCTCACCCTCTACAAGTAAGTTTTTAGAAAAACCCAAACTCTGTTTTATGAAAACAAACCGTAAAAGCATTTGAACAGGACAGCATTTGATTTCATTTAAAGGGGAAATGGAGATCAGACCAAACATGTCGGATTTGTAAAATGAAACCTGTGACGAAGACAAAGGAGGACGAAGGAGAATTTTTTTTTAAAGCTTAGTATATGATAATATCTAAAGTATGACACGCATGTATTTATGCCAGGACCAAAAGATTTAGTCAAAAACCCAAACTGCTATTTTTTTCCAACCCCACTATCATGGTTGATCTTCCTTGGCACAATAAACAAGCATGGAGAAGTTTCAGTTCAAGGTTCATCGTTTGCATGACCTTGAAAGCCTTATTTTCCAGAGTGTATAACTGCCAACTAAAGGGCTGGAGTGAGGCTGTGTCTCACTCTTTTTAAATTTGAAGGGACCGAAAGTAAATGCCTCTGAGGTTTTTGAAAATTGTGTTTTGCTAAATTGTGATTATATAAAATCAAAGGAATTCCACCCTTAATTTTATGCTAATCTGAGTCTTGGGAAATTTAGATGTAAGTGGCTTGTAAAAAGGTTTTCCCTTTCCACTGTCGCCACATGCTTTCTTAAAAAAAAAAAAAAAAAAAAAAAAGATTGCTTCGGACAAAGACGGGCAGCAATCATCTTTTATATTACAGGCAACCAGTTCAGGTTATCTGATGATCAATGTACGCTACTACATTACACAGTATATATAATCAGATTTTAAAGTAATAATATTGATTTCATTATAATTACCTGAGCTAATCTGAATTGAATTTTAAATAATGACCTAAATTACAAATGATTGTCTATTTATAAAGTTCCTTTAGGCAACATTGGTTATAATTTGATGTTGTTTGAATAAACTGAATAAAATAAGATGAAAAAGATGTCTAATTGGGGTATGATTGTTGCATTTTTCTATATTTGGACATTGGAAAATTCTTGTGCAAATTATTTTACTACAATGTTTTAGTTTCAAGACTAAACCTGTAACATAGCAGCTACTGCTTTTACAAATCTAAGACCTTGACCTTGATTTTTAATACATGAAAAGCTTTATTCAAGGCCATGTAGAATGATTGCTGCTCCAACACCAATTTAGGGCCAAATTATCCTAGTATGGATATAAAGACCAGAATTGGATCATTTATGCAGTTTTGCTAAGATGTCTGATTTGAGGTAAAGTTGCAGAATTCCAGGTTCCTGGAATAATTTCACCTAATTCTTGTTTTTAAAAAGCTTGAAGTTTGTTTTGATGATCATTCTTTATAAACAGTAAAACAGAAAAGTAAAACATCCCCGATGACTGCAGGTGAACATTTGTCCAAACAGCAGCTCTTTGCTTTAAAATAAAAGGCAGTCATTGCCGAATGTTTGATCATGCAGAAACAGAAAGAGGGGGAAAAAAGATGAAAAGACAATAGTTCTTATGTTACTTCAGCAAAAGATTCACTGTTTGAAGTGGCTTCATCGGTTGGTTGATCTCAGAACCCACAGACGAAGGAAGCAATCAGGTGTAGAAATGTTAAGTTAATCCTCTTTAAGAGCCTTTATTTATTCAGCTGAAATCAGAGCACATCTGTAAATACTGATATTTTTTCCCCCCACTATGATACATTTTTGAAGCCATAAAACCAAAACACAGCAACCAGGATACCTGCTCCATCTCCTGCTTTCTTAGTCCTGCAACCTGATTTATCCTTGTGTTTTTAGTCCGTTATATAAGGTTGTGTGTTGACTGCATTCCACTGAAGTAGAAGCTGTTCATTTCAGTTCAAACTGTATCTATGGAGGGTTTTCTAAATAATTGGGTCAGGGTTGTGACCCTCACAGTTGGAAAAGAGGCAGCTGAGTTCATCTGACCCTGAGCTGGATAGAAGGCCAGTGTGATAAAGATCAAAGTTGCATAATTCAACAGAGAGGAGAGAGTGATGAAATATGAGAAACTGCTCTGTAGAAAGGATCCGTTTTTACACTTGGAGCCACAATAAGCAGCTGCATCTTTTCCTGCTGATGGTTCTTTATGCAATGGAGAATAGATGTTAAACCAGTTTGCCGAATGGCTTCCTTTATTTTAGGCTAAACCTTCTTTTAACCAGGAATGTTTCACACAGATTCCAAGTATTCATAACAAGGCAGTTCCATGCACTCTTACCAGATTCCTGGAACAAAGACAGTCGCCCCATGGCGTGCAAGGTAAAGGTGAGCCGCTGTGGAGATAACGTGTGATTCACTTTGAAGTCAAGCATATACTAGTCTTTTCAGGGAAGTGGAATGTGCTCTGTGTTTGAGGACATTTCCTAACCTCTGATTCTACTGCCTTTTTTTTGGTGAAAACAAAGTAAAGATGAACGGTTGAGACCAACTTAATGCAGCAAATCAGTAGGTCTCTTTAAAGGAGAAGTTCGGTTTTTAACACTTTTAGCCCATTTTCTGTAGTGTCCAGGATGGAATCGAATGATCGACACCAAAATTTTGACAATTGGTCCTGTCTCTGCTTTTTGGCTGCTTCAGAATGGCTTCCATAGAGCATGTCCGATAATGTCCTTAAAACAACCTTAAACGTTCTTTTTTTTAAATATGCTACTCACCGGGTCATCAGCGCTGTTCAATGACGTTCCAAAAAAAGTTTCTTGAAGAAAAAACGTTCCTGTAGTGTTTTATTTAGCATTTTGTAAATCCCATTGAGTTCTGTTGGAATAGTCAATATTCCCCTGCAACCGGAAACGGAAATGGGGCCTGTTTACACAGTTGTAGTCTTTTCGCTTCACTCTGTGTACTCCGACGTTGAGGTGCTAACGTCTCTGTTAAACACTTTAAAAAAACTCTGAAAATGGAATACGAAAGGTGGATTCTTGATTCTCGACGTCGGAGTACACCGAGTGAAGCGAAAAGACTACAACTGTGTAAACAGGCCCCATTTCCGTTTCCGGTGGCAGGGGAATATTGACTATTCCAACAGAACTCAATGGGATTTACAAAATGCTAAATAAAACACTACAGGAAAGTTTTTTCTTCAAGAAACTTTTTTTGGAACGTCATTGAACAGCGCTGAAGACCCGGTGAGTAGCATATTTTAAAAAAAGAACGTTTAAGGTTGTTTTAAGGACATTATCGGACATGCTCTATGGAAGCCATTCTAAAGCAGCCAGGGGTGGATTCTAAATGAGCCAAAAAGCAGAGACAGGACCAATTGTCAAAATTTTGGTGTCGATCATTCGATTTCATCCTGGACACTACAGAAAATGGGCTAAAAGTGTTAAAAACCGAACTTCTCCTTTAAACCAAATAAAGAAAGTAGAAATCCTTCTCTTTAGTTGTAATCAGTGCCAGGATTGTCGCTGTCTCTCTCTGGTCCTGTGAATTTAAGGTTTGTGGAAAGGTACCTGAATACTTTTAAACAGCAGGCTTGCTTTAATGTTTTAAAGAAAATTCTGTTTATTATAGAGATAAGAATAAATGAGTCAAACTGGTTGTATCTAGCATCCTGATGATGTCGATGGAATTCCGTTATATTCACATTTTAAAGAATGTCACACTGCTTTGGATCATCTGATCATCGCTTAAGCTCCACATTCCTCAGTCGACAGCAGGCGGATTTTCCTCAGCCAGGTTTATGCAGTTCAACGTGCTGTATGATGTTTTTAAGACGGTTATCTGCAATTATAAAAATGTTTAAAGGAGACAGATATCTGGAAGTGGGGTTCCTTAAATGACCCAACTAGTGTTTTACTGCACATACTTCCCCTCACTCTTCATGTCCAGGGTTGCTGCTTTGGGTCTGGCTGCAGGGGTCCTGCTTGTTCTGCTGCTCTTCTGCCTCTACCGCGTCCTCTGCCCTCGGAACTACGGCCGAAACGGCGTGGCTCACGGGCGCCGGCGGCGAGGCGACCTGCCCTGCGACGATTACGGTTATTCTCCACCCGTCAGTGAGATCTCACCTCTGCTGCTGAGGGGCCACAGTATGGTGAGGAGGGATTATAAAGATGGCGCTAATAAAAAATATAGCATGCTATTGGAAAACATATTTACAAACACCACTCCACTCATTCTTCTCTTGCAGGACATTGAGTGTTTGGCCAGTGATGGGATGCTGCTGGCGAGCTGCTGTTTGGCCGGTCAGATCCGTGTTTGGGATGCCCAGACTGGCGACTGCCTGACAGTCATCCCAAAGCAAGGGTGAGGTTAAAAATCAGATCATTTATGTTCTTTAGCCCATTTAAATATCTACCATACTTTATGAAAACAGGGCAAATACTTTCCAATCCATACAATTGACCTTTTTTAATGTAATACATGATTTGTCCAAATTAACCTTTTTATGAGGGATTTTTCTAAAGATCCTTCCAGGTTTTTTTTTAGCTGAAATGAAGATGAGATGTTTTCTAAATTTAAAATGTATGATTGATCATCAACATGTTGTTTCCAACTTTATATCTCATATTTATTCTCCATACAGTTCATAAAATCAGAATTAAATGAATTGATGCAGATGAGTTTGTGAAAATGATTTGATTAAACTATAAAAAAAAACATTCTACAGGCGTTAACATCATCTAAGCTGTTTTAGGGTGTAATGTTACATCAGTCTCTATTTTTAATCAGTGTAAATACGACTAAATGTTATCATTAACCCATAGAAAGCTCTTGGATCCTGCATTGTTTTATTAACCCTTATCTGCGTCAGAAACACTGCTAGGTCAGCTTAACTTTGCAGAAAGGCTCCACGTTGCAGACTTGTCTGCTCTTGCTTAACTGTTGTCCTGCAAACATTCTTGGAAGTAATCAGCCATAATTATTCTTAGAATCAGGACATGTCTGTAAATCAGCTTAATTAAAAGGAAGTACTTATAGCAAATCCTGCCAATTTTTTTTTTGTTTTTTTGTTTTTGTATTACAGGTACAACTTAAAAAAAACAAACACTGTAAAAAAAAAGGTACATATATTTACATGAAACTATTATATAGACTCATACACAAGGGGTGAAATACTTCAGCCATCTATTTCTTGTTATTTTGATGATTATGGATGACCTATAATAAATAAAGGAAATATGACTGTCAAATTTAATAATATCTCTGTTAAATTGTATAAAAACATATAACTAATGATTAAATGTCATTACTTAGTCCAGGAAAACCGGTGATTTAAGGGAGAATCAGACATTAAACACCAGCTCAATGGAGGTTAAATTGAAGTTTAGAAATACTAACAAATCATAAAAATATTAACTGAAGTATTTTTCAGTTAGCGTTTCAAAGTTATCTAGGAACTAATTGGTAATCAAAGATCCATTAAAGAGGGAAACAGCTCAGCATGTTGCACATTTCTCTTTGCCATTAGGGCTGATTATTGACCATATTTGATGTGGTATCAGTCACAGTTATGATAAGAAAGGTTTAAAAATAAAACAAATAATCAACAACCCTCATGGTTGGTGAACTTTGGCAGAAAAAAAACCCTTGGACTTAACAATTCCCTCCAAGAACTGTTAGACACTTTGAATATCACAATTTAAACTATTTAAGGTTTTTTGAATAAAGGGTCAACCACTTCAAGTGTTTTTTTGTTTTTTACATTAAAACTAAACTCCATAAACATTTAGGAGGTCCACTTTGAAATTACATTCAGTCACAAATTTGTAAAAAACAACCCAGAATTTTTGTTTCTGGGTTGTGAATGAGTCTGGCAGGATGTGGTAAAGTCTTTGTCTTCACTGGTTGCTCTGGTTTCCCCTCAGATTGAGACGATGCAGCAGCAGTGGCTGCTGGGAGCAGAGAGACGTCTGGGACACCAGTGCAGAGTCGGAATGTGGCTGTGATCCTCGGGACCCCTCCAACGGCTGTGACGGGATGTCAGAGGACGATTGTTACCCGCTGAGACGGCGCTCCGCACCGACTCGGCCGCCTCTCTTCACGGACCAGCCCGACCTGACTCCTCTTATAGACACCAACTTCCCCTCCCAGCCACCCTCCAACGTCTCCACACCGCCCAGAGGAGGGTTCGACTTTGGAGGCCTGGTGGAACGTGCCTACAAGGAACACGAGCCTCCATCACCGTCTGCCTACCCCTCACCTTCCTCTGCGTCCTCCTCGCCTCCATTAGCCACTCAGCTACAGCGAAGCCCCAGTCTGGGGGACACATCTGGACTCTATAACCAAGAGAGAACCTCTGGAGCGGGGACACAATCGGCTGCAGACTGGGAAAGCTCCGTCTGGGCCATGGAGCTGAGAGGAAATCTGATAGCTGCTGGGAGGAGCAGCGGTAAACTGGAGGTGTGCAACGAGCTGCTCTGCAGTTATACGTTAGCGACGGTTTCTTCTGTTAGATGCTGGAGATGGTAGAAATAAAGAGCAGTTAAACAGAATGTTTGATTTCTCCATGTGGTTTCAGCTGTGGGACGCAGTAGAAGGGTCACTGCGGTGCTGTAATGAAGATGGAGTCTCTGGGATCACAGCCTTAGCCTTTCTTAACAACAGGTAAAAACCAGATCTGAGCCAAATGCATTGGTTAGATTTAAAGCACATGGGTATATATGTTCATTCCTTATCTTTCAGACAAGTATAATCCCTTAAATGTGCGATGAACTTGTTGCATTTCAATGTTTCTGTATTTCATTTAATCCTTCAGATCAGTTCAAAATCTTCTTTTCCATTTAAGCTACTTCAGATCTCAGAAACTGACAAGAAGCACAAACTAATCCTTCATCCACTGATTTAAAGTGCATTTTAGAACAGCTTTAACAGCAGATAATCTAAAAATCAATCCTCAGTCTTAATCTAGACTATTAATCAGATTGGTGTACACTACATCCACTAAGGATTCTGTTGATACTGTAGGAGACAGAGTTGATAGACGTCCAAATAAAATATGGCCTCTGACGGTGAAACTAAAGATGCATCTCATCAGTTTGGCTTTAGTTTAAGGCAAATTATTTATTGGATTATTTTTTTTATATACATATATATCTTTTAGTTATTGATGTTTTGTGATTAAATATGATTTATCTTTGTTTCCTTTTATTTCTTTTTTATGTAGGAATCCCTACAGAGGATAGTCTCTGACATGTTAATCATTTGATTTCACAATTTTAGCAAAGAGGATGAAACATTTTAGTATTTTGACTTAAACTTCAGTAAATATATTATTAAGATAGAAGACTCTAGCAGGTGTGTTTATATCTCTGTACTGTTATATTAGATTTCTTTCAAAAATGTTTTTCTGTTTTTTTTTTTAAGGTTTTTAAACTGTCGTTTTAATCTTTTTAACCTACATTATTTTTATTTGTTTGGTTTTAGTGTCTTTATGGTTTAATGCAATAATTGGAAGAAGGTTCTGATCTGTTTGCTTCTCAGAATCGTGGCGGCGCGACTCAACGGGTCGTTAGATTTCTTCACTGTTGACGTTCATAAGCCTCTGGGTCTGCTGCAGTACAGAGGTGAGACTGATTGTTTGGACTGTTGGAGGCAAATTCAGTTTCATTTCATCGTATTTCAGTGTCGGACTGAGACAGAATAACCATAAAAACCTGGAGTAACGGAAAGGAGCCTTCTCCTGCCTTTCTCCTCTGCAGGTGCCCCCGGGCGAGGCAGTATGCCCCCGTCTCCCTGTTACAGCAGCGAGGACATGATCAGCTGTCAGCTCACCCGCTCAGTGCAGTGTGCGCACCAGAAGCCGATCACGGTGCTGCGAGCGGCCGCTGGCAGGGTGGTCACCGGCAGCCAGGACCACACAGTCCGGGTAACAAAAAAAACATGAAATCACAAACGCACTAAGAAAAGAATCACTGGCGCTTCTGTTTAGTAATGCTTGTAATTCTGTGGTGTTCCCTGTGTGATCAGGTTTATCGGCTGGAGGATTCCTGCTGCCTCTTTACCCTGCAGGGTCACTCTGGGGGGATCACAGCCATCTACATTGATCAGGTCTGTCACAGACTGACTGAAGTTAAAGTATTCATTAACCTGCTGATTGTTGGAATCACAGTCATTTAAAGAAAGGCACAAAAATTTTGAAGGGATTTAAAGGTAGAGTGGATGATGTTTTGTTTCGAGGTGGATCATCAAAATAAGTGGTCCTCCTAATTGTAAATCATTCTGGTAATATGTTTAGATAAGGCCGTCCTACATGCTCGCCCCCATTTTCACCTTTTTTTTTTTTTTTTTTTTTTACGGCACTAGTGGCTCTTTTTTTTCTGACAGTAGACTGACAGGAAAGGGAGCATGAGAGAGAGGGAGGGACAGGCGGGAAAAGACCACAGGTCAGATTCGAACCCGGGTCGTCCACATTGAGGCCTAAAGGGCTGGTTATTCTCCCCGCAGCAGTGTGTCGCAGTGAGGTTGACGCTGACATTTTTGAGCATACGGCATTTTGAATGCGGCCGAGGCAGTGAGGAAGTGGGGGTGGGTTTCTCCGACAACGCAGGGACACGAGGGCAAAAAAGAACGGGGATCCAGGTGGAAAAAGGGTCCCAGTGTTCTCGCGCACCTCGCTCTTCTAGCTGATCCAGCTTCACTAGTTGTTTTCCACAAATGCGGTCATGAAAACAAAACAAGCCGGCCTCCTGTCTACGACACTGTGGGCAGTCACCTACAATTTGGGAGAGGTTCAGCAGAGTGTCTGCGGAGGGGACGGGGACATCTTTTTGTCCACTGCGACACATACACAGATGACCTAGTTTCGAAGTATAAATCAGCCTTAAGGCCTCTGTGCAAGGGTTGTACATGCTAACCGCTGCGCCATCTGCAGTGGAGAGGGTGGGTCTTTTTAAAAATTAAAAAATTCGCAAAAATCACGCACTGTACCTTTAAAATGCAGTTAAATGCAGTAAACACCAAGTAGGCTGCAGGTCGTATTATATTCTACAGAAAGTGGGGGGATTGTGTAAATATCTATGAATGCATCAAAGCATGTGTCCAACCTAGTAAAGATAAAAGATGGTGACGACTTTAAAGACTTAAAAATGTAAAAATTGTTCAGTTTTATTAGATGTAATGAACTGAAGCTCTGGGTTCCAGGTTAGGAGGGGATATGATGTGATGATAGAATTTCAATCTTATTTTTTTGTTTTGATATCAAATCATTCTTTGAAAGTAATTAAATTAAACGAGTTTTCTTTTCATCCGTTCGTCTTTTTAAAATGCTCTAATATGACTTTTCATCAGACCATGGTTCTAGCAAGCGGCGGGCAGGACGGCGCCATCTGCCTGTGGGATGTACTGACTGGGAGCCGTGTCAGCCATGTCTATGGTCACCGTGGCGACATCACCTCCCTGGTCTGCACTACCTCTTGTGTCATCAGCTCAGGACTGGATGATCTCATCTGTATCTGGGACCGCAGCACTGGCATCAAACTCTACTCCATCCAGCAGGTACTGAACGGGTCACAGAAATCAAGCTCAGGATATTTATTCAAATATTTAGTATTTAAAATAAAAAACCCTAGGTACAAAGTTAAACTTTACAGTTTTTCTTCTGTTGGTTTAAAATTTGGGGGGAAAAAAGCGATAATCTGCTGAGTGGGACTAACTGACGGATCTCCTCACCAGGAGGTGGGCTGTGGGGCCAGTCTTGGCGTGATCTCAGAGTCCCTGCTGGTGACGGGGGGCCAAGGATGCGTCTCTTTCTGGGACTTGAACTTCGGCGACCTGCTGCAGACAGTCTACCTGAGCCAGAGTGGCGACGGTCAGGGCGTCCGGCAGCTGCTAGTGCTCGATAACGCCGCCATCGTGTGTGACTTTGGCAGCGAGCTCAGCCTGGTCTACGTTCCTTCGGTGCTGGAGAAACTGGACTGAGGAAGAGCAGCAGCCGGCACCGCTGGGAAACACTCAGAACCTCCATTCATCTCATTTTTTTATACATCATTCATGAGAAGATTAAATGTTGAGGAAAAAAAAAAACATCACAAGGATCTTGGGAGATGGAATCAAATCCCTCATTCCACCATCTTGTTTTTCTTCTAAGAGCAAGCTTGTGCGTTTGGTTGGTTGCTCTGCCCTTGATGCTGCTGACTCATATGGAACCGTCTGTGATCCAACCCTGTGAAGGACGACAATGGAGCCATTTCTTTATATTTTTTTTTAAATTGACAGCATCATAAAGTCACAGTGAACCCAGCAGTTCTCTGGCCTGTTTGGATGGACCCAGCAAACACCTTCTGAGGAGACGACATGATTGGGGAGGATGTGCGAGCGTGTGCGTGCGTGGAGGGGAGAAGTGATGATTACTGTAAAAAGTAAACCTCCGATGGAGGCTGTTTTTATATGTATAAATCTATTATTTATTAGCTAAATTTTTTCAGTAATGGTTTGTTTGTGGGTGACTGATCCCAACTCTCAAACTTTAATATAAAGCGGAAATGATGACTTCAGATGTAGGAAAGGTGTTTGTTTGGCAGCGTTGAGCCATTGTTTTTAAACTGGCCGTTTGTTGATATTGAGTTGGAGCATTGAAGGCATCAGTGGGAAACATTAGAGGAGGGGGAGGGAAGGGGGGGTCTAATTTACGCTATTCCTTCATCAGGCTACCTCTTCAATTTTGTTGACTGATGTGAACAGGTTCTTATGGCCTTTTTTTTGCTCTTATTTCACCTTCTGAGGTATTTTCTTAGATTTAATTTGAAGATTTTAAGTTGCTCGTTTAAGTTCTCAATTATCTGCAAAAAGGCTTAAATTGGAAGACGTTTCGACTCCTGGATAGGTGTCAAAACGTCTTCCAATTGGCTCGGACCAGAGCCGTCTGTAGTTGGAGCGCTGATGTATTTAAGCATGGAGGTCCGTCCTCCTGCACACATTCCAGGACAGAGGCAAAGATGCTAATTGCTTGACTTTGAAACTTTTGGCTACAGCTGAACAGTTTTCCTCGGTCACAACTTCTGCAACAAGTTAACAGTTTACGTTCAGGGGAATTGAAGCAGGTAACATCTAGAGCATGCAGATCACCAGCTCCTCTGGTGTGCTAACTCCCAGAGGAAATCATTGAATCATTTCTGTCTGGGATAGGCTGAAAACTCATATCAGATAAAAGCACCTTAAATCTGAGCTGACAACAACCTTCAGTGTAGATGTTGATACAATTAGAGGTATTTAATGACAAACCAGAGGAAAATAAAGCTGCTTAATAGGAAGTTTGGTCCATTCAGGCTCAAGTTTATAAAAGGCAACAAGAATCTGCAGATATTTAAGCAACAACTTTGATCTGTTTGATGGAACAGAGTTAAGCTAAAGATTTACTATAACAGCTGAATTTATATGGAGACTGATGTTCAAAGTTTTATCACTAAAACACACTTTGAAATTGCTTCTGATCCCAGTATTAATAGCTAGAAATAATAATAGTTGATGAAAATATTTTAAATGTTCAATCAAAATAGTCTAAAATTTTTTATCTGACAGGTTTATCTAGAACTTCAATGCAGTTGTTGCTTTGAGACCCAGTCAATTTTTTTTTAAAGCATTTTAAGCTGCTATATAGAGAAAAAAAAAACTTTGGAAATCCTGGTAGTTTTCAGAGTTCATATTTGAATTATAAACAGAGATATGAAGATCAGGATTTAACTTGATCAAATATAGAAATTATAAGGCAGTTCTGGAAAACATAGTTCTAAAGGTAAATTACCTGAAAAACACAAACAACAAAAAAAAATGGGGAAATTAATATTTTTCCAAGATTATTTTTTTTGCATTTTCACAGAAGCTGAGAAAAAAAAAATCTCATATTCCCTAAAAGCCACAAGCAAACATTTAATTAGATCCTTCTCAGGCAAAAATATGTCAGATTACAGGAAATAGAAGTCATCTAATCAGTCCCTGATCTTATTTGCAGTTTAGAAAATGTTGGGAATGTAAACCACATCATGATTGACTTATTTCCTCGGACAAAGAAAACCTAGAATGTATTTTATCTACAAATCTTCCCATCTAGTTTGTGCGTCTCCTGAATGTAGCCTCAGGCCAGCCATTTTGTTTTGATTTCTTCCCCTCACAGGATGCCGTCACGACACAAACTTAGTGCACTACTATCTGATTTTCATGCTTGCATATTTTAATGCACTTTTGCTAACGCCAGCTTCCAGGTAGGAGAGGTTGGGTGTGTTTAGGCTCACACCACATCCGCACTGGTTTCTGTGGGACGCTGCCAACATGTTTACATTCAGGGAACAAGCTTCTGACCCCCACAGATTATGAGAACCAGAGTTTTCATACGTTTTTAGACAAGCAGTCTTAAAATTGCAGCTGCCTCCCACAGACACCAGATGATGTGGCCTGTTTGTAATAGCTGCCATGTTTATTTAGTAATCATTTGTTTTCTGTTTAGTCGAGAAAAGCTTTGAAACTGGATTTGTAGTTTTTTTTAACAGTTTTTTTTTTTTTCTAAAATGTGAATGAATTAAAGCTGCAGTTTGGCTTTTTGGGAAATATGACTATTTGAGCTTTTTTTATATAGAAGTAGGACGGCCACAGAAAGCAAAATAAATACAATCTGAAAGTAATGTTTTAACGACTAAATCCAGCCGTTAAAACAGTGGCAGCAATATTTCCTAAAATGTCAAACTTTTTTTGGGTTGGGGGGGGGGGGGGGGGGGATCATGTCAGTTTTAGCTTTTTTATGAATGTGGTTCATTATGGACCTTTTTATTTTTTAATCATCCACACTCAGCAGCACCCCTTCCGTTAAAGAAGCTGCTTACTTATCGTTACTTTGAACTCATCTTCTCATGCTGACGCTTTCAGCTCCTCCATACCAGGAGTTTATGAATGCAGTGAACATTTCCTGTAACCATGGTTACAAATGAGTCGACATGATTTCATCTCCACGTCTGGACAACAGCCGCGAACCTTTTAAACAGAGAAAACATGATTTCCTGCAGGCTGTTCTAACAGAGGTAACTTATTTTGTAACGATAAAAGTAAAACTTTGTACTAATTTTCAAATAAAGAGGCTCTGACGCAACATTTTGTCTACTGAATTTATTGAATATTTTTACAATAATGAACAATAAGTGATTTTTTTTTTCCAGTAAAGTAAGATTTCCTTTGGAATTTTCTAACTTTATCTAGGATATTTACAGAGTTACAGAGAAAGGGGGGAAAAAAGTCAATATTGTTACAAAGTTCCAATGACCTCGTGCCTTCACATTCACAGCAGCCTTGTTATGCTTTAACAGCCTCATGGAGAGAGGATTGTAAAACTGGAGTGCATACTTCTTAGATGGCCCATATGTCGGAGCAGGAAGTGCACATCTGTCTAAACATAAAAAAAAAAGCAGCAAAGAATGACAATCTGAGAGAGGCAAGTGCATAGTGATCTGGTCCTGGAATCCACCAGTGATGAAAAGAGAAGCAAGTGTTTTTGATTCAGGGATCTCTCGATTACTGCTGGCATTCAGGCACATCTTGGTAATCACCACTAAAGTGTATCTAATGCTCCCAGGATTCAGTGTTTTTCTTAAAAGCAGGATTAGAGGAAAAAGAAAAAAAACCCACCAGCATTCTGCTGACACCTGGTGGTGGAAATAGAGTAATGCAGATTGTCTGGAGTTCTCTCACTGCTTATTGAGGCTCCAGAGTGGATCCAGGCTACTGAGCGGGTCGCTGCCGTCATCGCCGCGGGTCCCGTGGATGCCCTGACCTTCAGCTGGCTGCAGGAAGTTCTGCTTGGTCACCCGCTGCTTCCCTCGACCTCCTCCCTCCAGGGAGAAAGCCTCAGGCGTCATAGAGGCCAGAAGCTCCAGCGATGAAAGAGCCTGAGCAGAGGATGAACCGATGGAGGGTACAGACTCTGGGGCTGGCTGATGGTTAGGTGCTGGTGGAGTAGATGGGGAGAGATTATCCAGGCCGTTTGGGGGTGGAGGAGAGTGAGTGGAAGAGGTGAGAGGTGGGCTTAAGGATGAGGGAGGCTGAGAATCTGCTAGAGGACAAGGCTCCTGTGACAACTGCAAGCCCCCTATGGGGTCCAGCTGTGGTGACATAGCTCCAAACTGCTCCTCCAGCCCGCAGTAGGCACTACCCTCCATGGTGGGGTCTGCGCTGGGTGGGCGGATGCTGAGCTTGGCGATGGTTGCTTGAATGGAGCTGATGGGCATGTCGCCTCCAAGGACAAGATCCTGCTGGGACTCTTGTCTGGAGTAAGGCTGAGGAATGGGTTCACAAAAAAAGACAAATGTTACAATTTAATAGAAAAAAACAGTATAATGAAGACCCCTCCAACTACCACTTGTTCGTTTCTGATAATGGAGAACAAGTATCTGCTGACCAGAGCTCCTTTAAAAATGAAAAACAAGTAGAGACAAGATCAGGTTTGTCTTTAAATAATTAGAAAAGGGGATAAAAAAAAAAAAAAAAATTCTCTTAACATTGAGGGCTTTGAGGGACAGTATTATCTGGATCTTAATCTGACTGATCTTTGAACCAATTCAACTTTAACAACCTGTTACTGCAGCAGTAACAACACAGAGGTCTGTTCAATATGACTAAAAATATCCTCTGCAAGAAAACATTCCAAATTCTGACATTTCTACAAAGTTAACATAATAAATTGACCCCTTTTTATAGCTTGCATGTTGAAATGATGCTCATCCGTTTGCTTTTAGGCCATAAAACAGTTTGCCTCTGTTTGCCAGAGTAAAGCTTTCCTAAATGTAAATTGTTTTAAGATCCATTTTGTGCTGGGATTTGTATTTTTTTATCTAAACCAATAAACAGACTTGAAAGTAATTTTAAAAAAGTTTGAAAAACGAAAAATATTTGGAAACCTTTGTGGCTGCAGTGTTGGTGTTCTTGCTGTAGGTGGCAGTAGTGATTCCATGGCGCTGAAGGACCTGCTCAGCGTGCTTTAACACAGCTTCATAGCAAAACTTCAGGTGGAACTGGAGGCAGGAAAAAAACAAAAAAAACAAGTCCTTTAACATAGAAAAATGTTTATATCAAAGACTATTGATGATCTAAAGAACCTGGTAATTATAAAACAGGTCAAATGCAGATTATTTTCCAAATCAATGCTACAGGTTTGCATCTCACCTTCTCCTGCAGCATGTTCTTCCTCTGCTGTCTCATCTTCTTCACCAGCGATGGAAGGTCCGGGATGCCGTTTCCTGCCTCCAGCTCCTGCAGAGCCGCGTACAGCAGACAGAAGGCGCCGGTGCGTCCAACACCAGAGCTGAGGCAAAAAAAATCCACAAGCTGATATTGGCACCAATTTAACCAATAACCGCATGTGGGGATGTCTGGCAGCCTGATGTTTAACATATATGCAGCCATGTACAGCTGTTCATCCAACTAATGCAGCAGCTGCTGTCAGTGTTCAGAAGACAGAGTGCTTGAATAATGAAGAAATGAGCGCTGGTGCTTAAACATGCAAATCAGATGTTAAGTGTCTGGTACTGCATAACTCAGCTTACCTGCAGTGCACCACAACAGGAGTCTGTAAGGGCCTCTGGTGGAGGTAGTGTCCATGAACCTCCTGGATGAATCGCAGTAAATTGCTCTTGCAGTCAGGAAGACCCCTGGTTAAATAAGAAGCAGCAGCTTATTTTTCTATCTGAAGAAACTTTTTATGTTTGTAGCCTAGAGGACTTAACTATTCTTTGTCATTCTCTTCATTCAAAAAGAATGCAAAAAATGGCTTGTAGAGAGCCAAATTTGTGGGCACTAAGGTTTTCTGTGTGTATTTAAATCATTTTACAATTAATTTTTAATTATTTTACATGAATTGTATTTCTTAACCATAATGTTTTTTATGTAATTGGTATTGTAATTTTATATTGTGATTTTATACTTGTGTCTATTTTTAAGGTTGCCTTTTTTATACCTGGCTGGGGGACTACTGATTAAAATTAGCACTCCTTAGCTAACTCGGGTATATTTACATTGTTTTAATGTAGATTAATGTACACTGTCCCCTTTCAAATAAACAATAAATGAAATGAAAA